CAGGCAACGGACCCCCGAGAGGCCGCGGCCACTGACCCCCCCCCAGCGAGAGAGAGTGCAGTGTGCGCCACAGAGACCCTCACAGGTGGCACCGAGGATCCCGTCGACCGCCCGGCAAGCGCGGGACCCGCGGCTCGGGACCCGATCGGACGGATCCAGGAGGACGTCGGCTGCGCCTTCCCGGGCCTGAACGACGAGCAGCTGAGACAGACCCAGCAGCGAGATCCGGATCTGGCGGCCGTGGAGGCGGCACTGCGGGAGGAAAAGAGCGCCCTACCAGGACCCTGGAGCGGTTTGTATGCCCGGTTGTGTGTGCAGAACGGAGTGGTACGGGAGTTAACCGAGGCCGGCCAGCCAGGGTGCATCTGTGTTCCTGCCCAGGTGCGACCCCAGCTGCTACGGCTGGTGCATGACCACCCACTCGGGGGCCACGATGGGGAACGACGCACTCGAGAGACCCTGCGTCGCCAGTATCTCTGGCCCAAATTGGCACAAGACGTGGCGGCCTGGGTACAGGGCTGCCGCGCCTGTCAGCAGTGCGGGCCGAAACCGGCACGATACCAGGTACCCCTAAGGCCGTTCCGCGTCAGCCGCACGAATCAGCTGGTCGGGATCGATCTACAGGGGCCATTCCCACGATCCCATCGAGGCAACCGGTATATTCTAGTCGCAGTAGAGTATTTCACCCGCTACCCCGTGGCAGTGGCCATCCCTGATAAAACGGCCTTGGTGGTGGCCCGGGCATTCGTAGAACATTACGTACTCAAGCACGGGATCCCGGAACGAGTCCTCACCGACCAGGGTAGCGAGTTCGAGGCCGAGCTGTTCCAGGCACTGTGCCGAGAATTCGGAATCCAGAAGGACCGAACCACAGCGTATCACCCCCAAGCGAACGGTATGGTAGAGCGCATGAATCAGACCCTAGCGGGGAAACTCAAACGTATGGCGGCCGCAAATCAACGGGATTGGGACGAACACCTCCCCTACGCCCTTTTCGCCTACGCCACCACCGTACACACGTCGACGGGACAAACCCCGTTTTTAATGATGTTCGGCCGTGAGTCTCGTTTACCCGCAGATCTGCTATTCGGCGTCCCTTCCCCCCAGCCGGAGGAGGGAAGCCGCCCCGTGGAACACCTGTTGGAGACCCTGCGAGAAGCCCGAGGCCGAGCATACCCGCAAGGGGAAGCCGCGCATCGGCGGCAGGAACAGGGCACCCGACCCCGCATGGAACCCCCCTTATTCCTGACAGGCGCTAAGGTGTGGCTACACACCCCTCGCGTCGGGGCCGGGCAGGTGGGGAAACTGACGACCTACTGGCGGGGACCCTGGACCGTGGTGCGGCAGATATCCCCCTGGACGGTACTAATTTACGGCGGGGAGAGGGGTCGAGAGACGGTGGTCAATGTCCGCCGCTTAAAACCATGGAAAGCGGCCCCGGCGAGAGAGGACTCCGTCACCCGAAAGCCCCGAAATCCCGGAGTACCCGCACCCCTCGTGTTGGGGGGCCTCGCACACTACATGGGCCCCGCCTGGTCCCCGAGACGCCCCGATCCAGTCCGGAGACGGCGCGGACGACGGCCACTAAACCCTTCCGCTGCTGAGTTTGTGCCCCAGCCCACAGGTGCCGGGGGACGGGGAGAGCCGCTGGAGTGGAGGAGGAGACCGCCGCAGGAGCTACAGAGGACGGAACCACCCGCCCAGAGGCCAGCCACCAGGTCCGGACGGATCCCCCGGACCCCGCAACGTTTCCTCGTGGGCGCGGCCCAAGCGAGGTGCTCCAGTCAACCCGGGACGGGGACTGGCACCTCGGGGGGCTATGTGATGCCGCCGCCACGAAGCCGTTCGGCAGGCATCAAATCCCCGACCTCGCCACCACCAAGCAACGGAGCCGACCCCGCGTCCCCCTCACCTCACCTCACATGAACACACCCGCACTCATTTCCCCCCCCCCCCCATAGAGCTCCGAGGGGAGGTCGCCTGGCCGACCGGTTTTTATCCGAGAGACCCTTATCGGGATTAATTCTCACGGTTTCCGGCGATCAGGGGATTGGATGACCTCCCCCGTGCTACGTGGCACCGCGGCGCTGCGGCCGGCCTTAATATGGTGTGGTCGCGGCGTGGGGCATTCGGCCACCGCGGTTGAAGCGCATCTCCCCCCACACACACTCCCACGGGTCGACGGGGCGAGCAGGGGAGGCACGGGACAGCATGAATAGGGGGGTCACAGGGGCTGTTGCGCATAGTCATGGAGGGTTGGGATAATTGCGCTTGAGCGCGCAGGCCCCATTGTTAGGGAGGGTAAGGGATTAAGTAGGATTTACGCCTTGCACGCAGCACACTGATTAGCATATCAACAGCGCCCAGAACCGCCGTGCGCGTGCCAGAGGATCGCGAGCCCATTGTTTAGCGCAGCATCCCCTTTGAGGTAGGGAGGATAAATAGAGGGGCGCAGAGGGAAAATAGCTCTCTTCTCTCCAGCGCCAGGCGACAGGACGCTCTCCAGTCCAGCGACCCGATCGTCCGTGAGACGCATCGAGGTGCGCTGCGAGCACGGGATCAACGAACCGCCGTGGGCATCCAGCAGGAAGTCCCCGATCCGTCTGTCGCCGCCGGGACTCGCGCAGTGTGAGGGCAGCGCTGTTCGCCCCCGACCCCCGTTTTAATAGCGCGTGATCCGTGGAGAGACAACGCAGCGTCTGCAGGTGAACGAGGGCATGCGACGAGCTATGCCTCTCACACGAGCTCGCGGAGGGACGGACCAGGGAGGGGAGCCGTCGGGCGATGAGCCCAGCGACGGCACCAGCTGCTCGCAGAGCAGCGAGGGGTCGGCGCACGGCGGAGCCCCTGCCATAGGCACGGAGCAGGGAGGGACTCCGGGGACCAGCGGCCCCAACAGAGTCTGCCTCAGTGGCCCGCGATCACAAATTACTATTTATCTCCATCAAAAAAGTAACCTGCAGCGCCACACCTATTACCATCATTAGGGGAAAAAACGGTGATCCAATCTCCGACCCCCAGGAACAGGTTTGCCGTTTTTTCTGAGCATTTCTGTGAGGTCCTGTGGGAGGGTAAATCCCTCAGCCAGGAAAACATCATGGCCCAGTGGGGATAACCCTAATAGGGCTGCGGTGCCTCAAATATTGGAAGAGGTCACCCCCTGTGAGTGGCTGGCTGAGGTGCCATCTGTTGAGGAAGTACTGAAGGCGATCCAGATTCTGAGACCAGGAAAGGCACCGGGCAGAGATGATCTCCCAAGCGAAATGCTCAGGGAGGGTGGCGTTTGTGCACAGACTGCCCTATCTGACACCATAACAACAGTCTGGACCACTGGACGGGTTCCGCAGGATTGGAAGGGTGCCTTGGTGGTCCCCCTCTTTAAGAAGGGGGACCGCACAGCTCAGTGTGCCGGGAAAGGTCCTGGCAAGGATTATTCAACATCGCCTTGCTAGGCACGCTGAGGAGAGGCTTGCGGAGCCCCAATGCGGTTTCAGGAAAGGGCGGTCCTTGCACAGATGCCATATTTTCTGTCCGTCTGCTACAGCAGAGGTGTAGGGATTTCAACAATACCTACATCTCTGCTTTATTGACCTGGTCAAGGCCTATGATACCATCAGTAGGCTTGGGCTCTGGGTTGTTCTTCGTGCTTTCGGAGTCCCTGACCCTCTGCTCACGATCATTAAGGACCTTCATGATGGTGAGCGGGCCCGGGTAAAACTACGTGGCCGGGAGTCAGAGCCTTTCCCTGTACACCTTGGGGTGCGACAGGGATGTCCTCTGGCTCCCACATTATTTAACATCTGTCTTGACCGCGTAGTTCGTGAAGCCTTCAATAGCTGTACCGGGGGAATTTCCATCTGGTACAGATATAATGGGAGGCTGATCGACGCCCGGGTGCGATCAAGGGATGGCTCCCTATTGGTCAACCATGTTATGTATGTCGATGATTTGGTAATAGCTGCTCATTCAGAAGAGTAGTTGGAGACGCTGCTGCTGAGACTGGAGCATGCCAGTAACTAAGCACCTGCCTGGGTATTTTGTACCATCGGACACTCCACCCTCACAACTCCCAATCGGCAATGGGGCAGTAGTGGAGAGAGTAGAGAGTTTCCCATACTTGGGCAGTGTGCTTATGACCGGCTCCAGTTTAACAGCAGAGGTCTCACTCCGAATCAGTCAAGCGGCAATATCTTTTCATTGGTTGCGTAACGCTGTGTGGAAGCTACCTGGTCTGTCGCTCCGCACGAAGCTTCAGGTCTTCTCGGCCACAGTCATTCCCTCCCTTCTCTACGCTTGCGAAACGTGGACCCCCCTAATGGAGCATCTTCGCCAGTTGGAAACATTTAGGCTGGCCTGCCTACGATCCATCCTGGGTTTAACCAGGCTGGATTGTGTGAGGAGCTCACAAATCCTTGAAAGTCCCATCGGTGAGCTCTTCCGGCAGGCAAGGCTGCGTTGGCTGGGTTATGTGGCCCGCATGCCCAGCCACCGCATGCCTAAACAGCTTTTGTTCGGCCGGATCGAGGGGGCTAAACGGGCGCGGCACAGGCTAGAGAAGAGATGGAGTGATGTGGTACAGGAGGACGTGGAGCTGAGTGGACTTGCCGATGACTGGTACCAGTGGTGTCAAGATCGGCCTCGGTGGAGGAGGCTCGTGAAGGACACTACTGGGCAGTTGGAGGCAGTCGCCCTCCAACAACAACGGAGGGCGGAGAAGCGACGCTCACAACAACGAGCGGAGCGCCGGGTGGCTAAAGCACAGCAAGTTGGCACAGTAGGGGGCACAGGTGGTGCATCAGCCACTCATCTCGGTCATCTTGGTCAGTCGACCCGTGGAACCTGGGTCTGCCCCGTGACCTCCTGCCATCGGGTGTTCGACACCTCACGTGGCCTCAAGGAGCACATGGCCTGGCACAAGCGTCGTGGTGACGTCACCGCCACTTAGTGGCGAATGGCGGTTGTTGTTGTTGTTGTGTGTTTGTATGCCTACGAGCGCTCACGTTGGTCTCCAGGCAGACTCTTCGCTCTTCCAGGCGTTGCCGAATGTGTACGGCGTGCTATGGTCCTCGCCGGCAGGCCCCGTGAAGTCGTCGCTGACGTCCCCGTTGTAGTTCCCGCACAGCCCCTCGACGGCGCCCGCAAAGTCGGCCTTGAGCCCCACGTCCACATAGGAGAAGCCGTCGTACTTGACGGTGAGGCCGGCTGCCGGCGCCGACAGCACCGCCAGGTTCCCCAGCTGCACCACCGTGGCGCCGGGCAGTAGCGCCGGCAGGCTCACCGTCTCGCCGTTCAGCTGCAAGTTGCCAACAGCAATTCGTCATTGTCATCATCGCTTTACATTTAATATGTCACTCATAATACAGGTTTTTTTGGGCTAGATCGTGTAAATGTAAATGTTGTGTCGCCAAACCACCCGACAGAGCCAATTAGTACGGTTTTGTCACGTAAACAGAACGTGCCAATTCGTTACTGGTACGGCCATACTGGTGTGTTGGAGAGCAAAGGCACGACATTTAAAATCTGAGTACAACGTATCACTGGTAATTACTTCTGACAGGCAGACACATCACGTTCACGCCGCGCGCCGTGTGGGTTCCATCTCGAGGTACCCTGAGGTGACTCACCTGCACGGCGCCCCCGGGCAGGAGCCTGACCCTTGTGTGGTTGCCGAGCTGCACCTCGACGGCGCGCGTGTACGACACGGCGGCGTACGGCCCCAGCGCCTCGTTCTCCACAAGCACTCGCCAAGCGCCGTCACGTGATGTGCCGGCGTAGCGTGCGGACGGAGCGGCCAGCGTGTACGCGCACGTGCCCATGAAGTCGAAGTAGGTGCCGTCGAACGTCACGTAGTGGGGGTCGCCCGATGCCTGGCAGTGACCTGGGGTCGGTGGGGGGGTCGGGAGGGGGAAATGGGGGGGGGGGAGGTTAGTAGTGCAAAATAATGGAAATTATGGGACCAAGGACAGATCATCGTGGCGATCTAGCCAGGGAGGTCAATAGAGTTTCTTGTCAGCGGTGATGCGACTCTGTAAACGTTGCCCGAGCGGTTACGGAATGGACCGCGATGGCGCAGTTCCCCAATGGATGCCGAAATCTTCACTCAAGATATTGCAGCAGTTGTGGCGTGGTCCAACCGCCCTGTTGGTGAGCTCAAAAAGACGCCATTGCAGCTGTCCGTGGCCATCAGGAGAACGGATTTTCAGCACGGGGCCATCTCGGTGCTGAATGCATCGATTTAAATGATGGTGGTAACGACGTTACTGACGATGGTGGTGACAATGATGGTGTGATGATGATGGTGATAATGGTGACGATAATGATGATGATGATGATGGTGACGACAATGAAGACGATGCTGACGACGACAATGATGATGACGACGTGGACCTCACCCTCCAGGGCATTGCACCCGATCTTGCCGTCGTCCGTAAGTCCACACGTGTGCAGTGCAGGGCAGAAGAAGGCGTCGCAGTCCAATCCACCAGCCTCACACACGCACTGACTCCTGCAGTCGTCTGAGATGAACTCATCTCCCAGCTGGGACACGCCCACACACACACGCACACACACAAAGACAAAGATCCCCCATATAACCTGAACAGACTGTTGTGGCAAGTGTTTTTTGCGAGCACCTATGAAGGCCATCACGGCACACATGGGGGTGGATAGCCAGAAAACATGCCCGACCGCTTTTGTCTCCCCAGTGACGATGTTTACACACCGGACCAGGTCTGGAATTAATGAGATTTCCAAGGCCAAAACCGGCTTTCTCGAGGGAAGAATTATCTTGAAATGGGAACGGTAGCTGCCTCAAGGGAATGGTGTTATCAATGGTGGCAAGGTCATGGATGAAAACAGGGGGGCTGTGATTTGAGTAGTGCAGTATGTTGTATTTATCCCCTTTTTCCAAAAACTAATATTAAGAATAATTCTGCCAATAATATTTGTGTTGTTTAATTAAATAATGAAAACAACCCGCTACTCCTCACAGCACCAAGCGTCTGGAGGTCGTGGAATGCCATTAAACAGCAAACCTCAGGACCTCCCCGGCCACCCTTTTTCTTCCAGCAGTTCGGCACGAAAACAGGCCAGCCATACATCTGTATGGAGGGGTCTGGCCTCGGGATGACCCACTCAGAGGGAGTGGAGGGTGAGGGCGGTCGCGAGGAGGGGTCGGGAGGGTGTCTGTTTTTTTCGGTTTGTTTTTCTCTCACAAGAGATGCACAAGGAGGGGGTTGAGGGGGTTGCACGTTTTTGGTTTTAAGCACAAATGCACATCACGCAGTCAGTTTGAGAGAGTCTAAGTTCTGTCTGGTTCGAGTTTTGCTCAGTCTTGTGACTCGGCTTGCGATGCAGCGTTGCGAGGGAGGCCCGCAAGGGAGTTGGGGCGGAGGCTTGCCGGCAGACACCGACACCAACCATGGGTCGTGCCTCGAGGAGAGATGGGACGAGGAGGGGTCGTTAAGAGTCACAGAAGTCTGAGTTCAGTCTGGGTCGAGGCTGGGTTTCAGGCGTGCTCCGGCTGGCGGTCCTGTCGCGAGGGAGCAAACACCGACACCGATGGCCGGTGTCGCTTCTCGCAGAACGAAGTAACGAGGTGTGGTTAAGTACGAGTGAAGCTTGCGAAATTCCAGCTATCACTCTCGTGAAAGAACCTGAACCGGAGGAGGACCCGGAGAAAAATCCACGCAGTAACCACCACAGGGATAGACTCCAAATTTACAGCAGCAGCAGATATATCGTGAGGGTCGGGTTGGAACCCATGACCTCCTGTATACCAGGTGAGGTAGTTAACATATCTGACCCACCGTGGTGCCCCATGTCACCTGTGCGCCTCCCATCCCAGCCAAACCAGTCTACCAGAGACCGCTGCCGCTCACCGCTCGCCACTCACCTTGTAGTACTTGCCATTGCTGATGCAGCCGCACTTGTCGGCGCGCACACACTGGTCGTGATCCAGCAGGTAGCCGGCGTCACAAATGCAGCCCTCTACGCAGCCTCCCGCGCACTGACCCTCGCCCGGCCCCCGCACGCACGTCACAGGGCACGGGGAGGTGCAGTGCGAGTACGAGCTGTTGGCGGGGCACGCCGGGGCGGCTGTGGAGAGGTCACGGATGAGGGCGGGGGGGGGAGGGGGTAAAGGTCACGGTGCGCCTAGGTGGCAAGGGAGATGTTAACTACTTCACCTGGTGTACAGGACGTCGTGGGTTCGATCCTGACCCCTGATGATACCTGCTGCTGCTGCTGTAGTTTTGGAGTCTGCATCTCTCTCTCATCAACATCACGGTAGCTAGGAAATGTTAACTACCTCGCCTGGTGTACCGGACGTTGTGGGTTTGATCCCGACCCTGACGTCTGCTGTATATTTGTAGTTTTCGTGTCTCTCTCCCCGTGGTCCCACGGATTTTTTCGGAATCCTCCGGTTTTACCCTCCACATTTAGAATCAACATCACCACGCGTTTAGAGTATTTGGCTGCTGCTATAAATTTCCACTGCGTTGAGCTTTATTTGTGATAGCCAGGTCGCTTCTGAAAAAGAGCTACATAGCAGCTCAGTGGTTGGGGCCTTACTTGGTAACAATACTAAACAGTTCTTTTTTAGTTTAGTCTATGGGACTCTATGTATATCTATGCATCTCTATGGGTTTAGAGTATTTGGCTGCCACATGGTGAGCCACGTGGTTGAGCTGCTATCAATTGTGATAGTCAGGGTGTTGCTTCTGAATAAGAAGCTACTCACGGCAGAGCGTCTCGTTTCTCCAGCCATTCAGGGCGATGCCGGCTTTGATGCAGGCGGCGTAGTACGCAGAGAGGGCTCGGCACAGCACGGCATCGTCAAAGCCCTGCAGCACCAGGTCGAGCACGCAGCCGTCCACGTAGGGCTGAGGGTCGACGGCACGGGCGCAGGCGGCGAAGGGGCCCACGGGGTCGCTAATTGCGCCACACTTGTCATTCTGCGAGGCCGCAGCCACCTCGTTGGCGTTGGGGGTCGGGTGGTTGCCCGTGTCGTCTGAGCCGCTATAGTTTTCATCCAGAAAAAAAAGCAAGTGTGTCGGGGTGGGCGGGTGGTTTGGTGGGTGGGTGAGTGGGTGTGGTGGGTGGATGGAGTGGGTGGTTAGTGGGTGGGCAAGTGGGTGGGTGAGTTGGTGTGCAGGTTAGTGGGTGGGTTAGTGGGTGGATCAGTGGGTGGGTGTGGTGGGTGGGTGTGGTTCGTAGGTGTGGTGGGTGAGTGGGCGGACATTGGAGATCATTTAGCCCCTTCTATCTAGCCAAACAAAAGCTGTTTAGGCTTGCGGTGGCTGGGCATGCGGGCAACATGACCAGGCCAATGCAGCCTTGCATGACGGAGGAGCTTACCGATGGGATTGTGTCCAGACTTTTCAAGGATTTGTAAGCTCCTCACGCAATCCAACCTGGTTAAATGCAGGATGGATTGTCGGAAGGCCAGTCTCAATGTTTCAAACCGGAAAAGATGTTCCATTCGGGGAGAAGGGAGGGCATGACCATGGCCGAGAAGACCCAAAGCTTCGTGTGGAGCGACAGACCAGGTAGTTTCCACATGCAGCCGACTGATTCAGAGTGAGACCTCTGGTGTCAAATTGGAACTGGTCAAAAACACACTGCCCAGGTATGGAAACCTCTGCACTCTCTCCACAACTACACCACCTATTGGGAGTTGAGGGGGTGGAGTGTTTGATGACACAAAATACCCATGGCAGGTGCTTAGTTTTGGTGGGGCTGATGGTAACGCCCCACTTCTTCATGGCACGCTTCAGGCTCAGCAGCAGCGCCTCCAACTCCTCAGAGTGAGCAGCAATTACCAGATGATCAGCATACATAACATGGTTGACCAATAGGGAGCCATCCCTCGACCGCACCCGAGCATTGATCAGCCTCGCATTGTATCTGTACCAGATGGAGATTCCTCCAGTACAGCCATGGAACGTTTCTTGAACTACACGGTCGAAATATGTTAAATAATATAGGTGCCAGAGGACATTCCTGTTGCATTCCAAGGTGAACAGGGAATGGCTCTAACTCCCCACCACATAGCTTTACCTGGCCCCTCCCACCATCATGAAGGTCCTTAATGCTTATGAGCAGAGAGTCAGGGATTCTGAGAGGGACCACCACGAAAAACAAAAAAACAACCCAGAGCCCAGGCCTACTGATGGTATCATAGGCCTTGACTAGGTCAATAAAGCAAAGATGTAGGTCCTGTTGGAATTTCCCACACCTCTCCTGTAGCAGATGGACAGAAAGTATGGCATCTGTGCAGGACCGCCCTGTCCTGAAACCATACTGGGGCTCTGTAAGCCTCTCCTCAGCGTGCCTGGCAAGACGATGTGGAATAATCCTTGCCAGGACCTTTCCGAGCACACTGACGAGGGAGAAGCCCCTATAGTTACAGACGCACAAACATCCACATACACACACTTACGTCTCAGAAGAGCCGGGCTCCGTAATCTTCCAGCTGTTGCCGAAGTCGGTGGCCGATGCAGCACGGGTGCCGTCCCTCATCACGAAATCGTCGCTGGGGTCTCCATTCATGTTGGAACAGAGGCCACATAGGGCCCCGGCGAAGGAGGCAGGGAGGCGCGCCACGGCATGGTGGTGCCCGTCATACAGAACCTCGAGCTCGAAGTCACTCCGCAGGCGCATGAAGTTCCCTGAGCGAATCACGGAGAACTCCGCACTCCCATTGGAGTAGTAGTACGGAACGTTGATCTCCACTCCATCCAGCTGTGGTAAAGTTGGGGGAGGGAGGTTGTTTATCGGTGCTGCTACATATAGCAAATGCTGCTGATAGGTATGTTCTACCCTGTCTATAGCCATTCTCTACGCAGAGCTGGGACCAGAGTAAAGAACGTTATCTCGTGATTCATCAAACGTTTTGCAGCCTACCATGGCGGTATGTATGGTCCTAAATGGCACGTGGAAAATGGATAGTAAGATCATTAACCCTCGCTGATCACTCCCACTGCTGCAGCCAATCGGCTGCTAGGACGACAACCACCATGCAATGTGGCCAACTGGATGTTATCACTCCCTGTGCTGCAGTGGCAGAATGTTTATATTATTAACGGTGATTGGTTTTATTTTTCATGGTCTGTTTTTTATTGAACCCGCAACACAAACACAACAAAGGTTACATCATGGGACCTCCTTTGCCAGTACCAAAATATACTAATAGGGTTTTTCCCCTTTTTTTTGGCAACAAAACTGACACCTTTTTCAAGGAATCATGCTTACATTAACCACAATACTTGCAGTAAAATGCAAACAAAAAACCTAGTCTCATATGGTGTTCGACCAGATGACGCCAAAAGGCTAGTCTCATATGGTGTTCGACCAGATGACGCCAAAAGGCGTCATCTGGTCGAACACCATATGAGACTAGGTTCTAGGCTCTAAAGAAAGCTGTCTCTGGTGTGGACCAATCAGTTTCAAAGACAATGCATAAATTATCAGAGTATTGTTTTTTTGTTTGCATTTGACTGCAAGTATTGTGGTTAATGTAAGCATGATTCCTTGAAAAAGGTGTCAGTTTTGTTGCCAGAAAAAAGGGGAAAACCCCTATTAGTACAACAAAGGTTATACAAACGTACGGACGAAAGCTAAAAAGTTAAAACGTTGATTGTTGATGTTACGTACCTGTCATCCTGTACGGTTTAACTCGTATTCTTGTACAGGGAAATCGAGTTTTCAGGTCCATACCGTGTATAGACGTTTCAATGCAGGCACATTTTTTGTCTATTTGTTTGTGTTTCTCCCTTATGATGGGACTTTGTAGCATGAACGTTTAGGTAACAAAAATTAAATTAATAACCTGAAGACGGAAGCTTGTGTTGCCTTCGAAACGTCGTGATTTTTATTTTATTTTACTTTTATTAATTTAAATTTTAAATTTTTACCTACGTGACTTTACCGAAAAAAACCTAAGAATATGAATACTTGCAGTCACGAAAGCTTCAAATCTAGAATGAACGTTTAGATTTATAAGAGGCACCTGGTGACCAATAAGGTCTGAATTGGTCTGTCATAAGAGAGGGCACTGATAAGGGGTTGACAGGTGTGATGTTATCATCATTAATTTTGTCGTGAACTATGCAAGTCTTAAATGCTCGAGAGATATCTCCTCACATTACGAACTCCCGATGTTGTAAATCCTTTGATTACTCGGAGTGACGACCAGCCTTTTTTTCCCCGCTTAGGCTACCGTCGGCCATTCTTGTAACTCTGGCCGCAGATCGCCTCCCCCCCAAACGTGCCCAAAACTCGTCGCAGCTCGTAAACTAAGCAGGGGGCTGGGGCCTGACCAGCACTGGTAGGTGGGGCCCCGCACTCACGTAGACTCTCCAGCCGAGGCCGAAGTGCACGCTGTGGTCGTAGATGTTGACGAAGACGTCACGGGTGTAAGCGATGGACCAGCTTCCGTAGATGAACTCGTTCTTCACCAGCACGTTCCAGCCGGCTCCAGAGCACGGCTGTGTGTGTGCGCGTGCGTGCACACACACACACACGAACAAATAGGGCAGTTTTAATTTGGTAAACATTCGTCTTTAATTGCATTTGGTCGTCTTAGTCTAGTCGAATCCGACTTGTGGAGTTTTGGTTAAGCATTTATTTGTATTTCACTTCGTCATTGTCGGAGTTGAGTCGACTAGAGGCAGTCAAATATTACCCGTTGGCCTTGTGGCTGCATTTGCGGGCATTAACGCCACGCTGCTGCCCGATGCATGTACTTAATGCCGTGCTCTTATAACCTGAAATGAATGGTGAAGTTGAACCAATTTACGACCTGGGCCCTCACTCTTTAGGCCCCACCCATTGCTGATTAGTCCCAGATTGTCGAATACGCTTTTGGCCCCCGCCTTTCCTTTTTATGGCCCCGCCTCTTTCTGTTTATGACCCGCCTCCCCTCATTGCGTGGTCTATAGGGAGGGGGAGCTCTCTGTAGAATGGGACAAACGCTGTCGGCAAGAGGGGATGATGTAACCAAGCATCAGGCATACCCGGCCACCACAGTCGGTGTTAATGTTTTTTTTTATATATACGTGTGCACATGCAGCAGACACTAATGTAAGGCTAAGTTGAGCTCGGGGAGGCCCAGCATCGCTTCGGATATCGCTTTGCCACCTATGCTGTGCAGGCTCGCAATTAAAGAGAGAAAGTTAAGGGGTGAGAAATTAAGAAGTGAGAGGAAGAATCGAGATGGTACAAATCACAGAGATGAGAGAGAAAAGGCGAGTGTGATTTGGGCATGTGGAAAGACAACAGAAACATTGTGGGTCAGAAGGTGCAGGTGATGCAAGTCTAAGGAAAGAGATCAAGAGGAAGGCAGAAGAAGAGGTGGGGGGCCGATGTCGTGCGAGTGGTCCATGGTGGCCCGAGGAGCGGAAAGAGAGATGGCGCAGGAGAGGGCAGCATGGAGAAGGTTGGGAAGGACAACAGAACTCCCCACATGAGTGGGACAAACGTGTGGAGGAAGAAGTTAAGGGGAATCGTGTTGACTGTGGTCGACAACGGGATTGGGCTGGGCACATCACAGGCAATGAGTTGTTGATGAGCACGATGGGGAGAACGCGCCCGGGAGTGAGAGAGAGAGGTCACATCCACTACGGAGACGGGGCTGTGTAAAAATCGGGGCGCTATCTGCAGGACCAATGGGAGATGGCGGCGGCGGCTTGAAGAGGCTCCTTCATCCAATGGCGGATAGATCATGGGTGAGGCTCGCGCACCTGTGTGAGGGCATAGGTGTAGGTGCCCATGAAGTCGAAGGTGCGGCCGTCGAACGTGACATAGTGCGGGTCGCCCCAGGCGGTGCACTCCACTATAGCCACAACAATAGCAGCAGAAGCAGCAAAAACAACAGCAGCAGCAAGATTAATACGAATGAAGCAACCACATTAACAACATCATCACCAACAACAAGCAATGCAAACCTTTTCCTGTTGTTCAATCTATTTGCACAAAACTGGGGGTGGCAGTGGTGGCTTTGCTTATACACATGGCCGCCTGTGATCCAGCACTGTAGAGGCAGCAGCAGCAGCAGTGAGGGCTGGTGGATCACCGCACAAATGTTGTGAAACTCCCTTCCCATGGGCATCGAGGTGGTGCCACGCCCAAAGCCTCCCAGGAGAGGGCAGTATACTCCCCGTGCGTGGGTGCAGAAGAGGAGACTTACCCTTGCTCTGCCAGATAGAAGGCGGACATAGCAGAGTGTGGGCTAATCTCCACCTGCTCCATACCCCCTTCTCATGTACTAATTGCCATCTGTTTGCCATATGTGCAGGGATATAGTGTTGCCCCCTTGCATCAGCGAGGGGACGACAACTTGGTGTGTATCTGTTGGATAGGCACATCGATGATTGTCTTCAGCGACAACGCAGGAACTCACGGCTCTTGCGGTGGCACCCGTGCACCCCCTTGCTGTCCATGCCACAGAAGTTGAAGGTGAGGTCGCAGGAGTTCGACTGGCACTGGATGTTGTCGGGGGAAGCACACGTGCACTGCACGGCACACCCGGGCTGCCAGAACGCCTCGTTCAGCTGTACAGGGGCGAGCGGGCGGAGGGGAGCGGAGAGGGTGGATGGTCTCATCACATGTGGGGCAAAAAGAGCGGTCCTACATACCACCATCCCGAAGGCTAACCCTACACTCAATGCTAACTGCTGAACCCTAATCCCGAGCACTAACGTCGAATCTTAATCCCTAATCCTAAGTCGACATCCAAAACCATAATTCTTAGCCCGAACCCCAATAATCTAACTTTAAACACTAACCCATGAACCATAATCCCTAATGCTCACCTCAAAACTCTCACCATAAACCCCGATCACCTAACCCTCATTGCTAACCAATCAACCTCATATCCTAACCCCTGAACCAGAGGTAGGGAACCTAGGGGGCCCGTGACCTCATTCACGTGGCCCATGACCACATGAGGCCTGCCGCTTCAAAAACAGACCCACAAGCAGAATCCATCGTCGGGGCGGACGAGTACGGTTGGTAGTTGAGCCTCCCAGGCACGTGGTCTCTCTTGGCGGCAAGTGCGAGTGAAGAGGCGGCGGTGGCAACCACTCACCTTGTAGTAGCGGCCGTCCATGACCCAGTTGAGCCTCCCAGAGATGTGGTCTCTATTGGGAGTGAGTGTGGGGGGAGTATGGCAGTCTGGGGTGCGAGTGAAGTGGAGTCGGTGGCGACCACTCACCTTGTAGTAGCGGCCGTCCGTGTACCAGTTGAGCCTCCCAGACACGTGGCCTGTCTTGGCGGTGAGTGCAGGAGTGTGGCAGTCCGGGGTGCGAGCGAAGTGGAGTCGGTGACGACCACTCACCTTGTAGTAACGGCCATTTGTGTCCCGGCACCCGCACTGGCCCGGCTGCACGCATTGGCCGCCGTCCCATAGCTGGGTGCTGTCAGCGCACTCGCAGCCCTCCACGCAGGGGTCCGCGCACTGAGCCGCGGCTGTGGGGTCGTAGCACGTAGCCGGACACGCGGCGGCGCACGAGCTGAACCGCGTGCCTGCGCCACAGCTCGTTGCTGCGAAAGAGACAAAGATCCCCCGCGTACCCTTAACATTCTGATGGGGCAAGTGCTGTGAGTGGTGCCTATGAAGGCCGGCCATGGTGGCGCACGTGGGGGTGGGTGGTCAGCCCCACGGCTCGCCGCTACCCCCATGGTGTAGTAGGCCTTTTAACAAAGATCTCCCACGTTTCCGAAGTGGATCGTGAATGAAAGGATGCATTGGTTACGCGAGAAGCAGCGCATAATTAACATGACCAGTTACGTGTGCTCATTTTACTTTCATAACAACTGCGGCTGTGATTTCAAGAATTTCGTCAACATTCAGAGTAGTGGTGCTGGCTATCTTGGAGTGGCTTTGATTGTGTCACTATGGTTCTCTGCGGTGAGTCACGAGGTCTTTAAGAACAAGCGGCACTGATATCGCTACTACTACTACGATTACTCCGCCTCTCCAAAATAAAATTAACGTTGAACCGCTTTTGCGTCCCGAGATTCAGCGGTGAACGGTGACAGCCCACCCACTGCGCCACAGCATGGAGACGTTTCAGAATGGTAGAAGATTTAGATAGCAGTCGGAAAGTCCATCCAACACCACCCTCCAAAGTTACCGCAGCCGGTGCCGTTCCTCCATGGGTCGGCGAAGGTGAACCCGGCCGCATTACAGGCCGCCACGTACGCCTCCAGCGACCGGCACAGCACTGACACGTCCAGACCCGACAGCACCATGTCGAAGACACAGTCGGTGAAGTATGGCGCGGGGTCAACGGTCGCGAAGCACGCGGCCAGCGTGCCATTCGCGTCTTGTAGCCGCCCGCAGTTCTGGGGGCTGGATGCGATCGCCGACTTGCCGGGGTGCAGGATAATGCCGGATGAGGCTCCCGTGTCACTGCTCCCACTGTGGGGGCACGGTTCACGAAAGGGAGGAATTGCAACGTGAGCACGTGGAGTTTGTTGAAATTCCACCGCAGCTCACAGTACATACTACGTGTGTGCGTTTAACTTATTTGGCACCGTACACAGCCAACTGCGCGAATCGGAGGTGTGGGGGGGGGAGGGGAAACCAACTAAACATAACAATGGGAAGCAGTTATAAATAATTGAGTTTTCAATCTTGATTACGAGTGAAAAGTGCATCATAGCTCCCAGTGGTTTCCTAATATCGGAAGGGAAGTGCGTTCCAGACAGCTGCAGAAGCGCATCGGAAAGCGCCGTGTGATGCGGTGGCCATTTTGTTCGACAACCAGCCAAAAGCCACTACTGATCCCAACCTTCGAGTTGCTATCCACCAGCTCCACCACAGTGTGCACATATGTGTGTGCACATATGTGCACGTGTGCGTCGTAGTGTATGGGGAGCGGTGGCGCATAGGTTACCACACTCCGCTACAAACCCAGCAGAGACCCGAGCTCCAATTCTTTCCCACTCGCGTCGACCACCAACACGGGTAACGATGACCTTTCCTGGTCCTGGGCCTCTGCTAGGTCGACTCCGTCTCAAGTGAGTACCTGGCGCAGTGTGTAAACATCGCCACTCGGGATACAGCCGCTTAAGGCTTTCCAGCCCGTTTAGGTTATCCAGCCTGTTAAGGCTACACAGCATCGTTTAGGCTATACAGCCTGTTAATGCTATCCAGCCCATTAAAGCTACATAGCCCCGTTTCGGCTATACAGCCCATTAAGACTATACAGCTGGTTAAGCTACACAGCCCATTTAGACTATGCAGTCTGTTAAAGCTATACAGTCCATTTAGGCTATGGAGCCAGTTAAGGAGACCATTGTCTTTGTGAGCCTCTACACGGCACCTCTCTGCGTTCTTCCTCTCGGGAACCTCCCAGCTGTTGCCGAACGTGGCCGCGTCAGGAGCCTGGGAGTGATCGGGCATTGCGAAGTCGTCGCTCTGGTCACCGTTCCACACCCCGCACACGCCACACGTGCCGTTCCAGTACACGTCGTGGTTCAGCAGAGACACCACCACCCTGCTCCAACCTGTGGGTGGTGGTGGGGGGGGGGGGGGTAGACAGAGGGACAAACCGCATCATGCCATATTTCACAGGGGTTTTCATTTTCCATAGAAATCCTTCCGAATAACAAAAGCTCACGCACCAAGTCACACCCGGAAACCAGACCGACTCCGTTCAAATGCGGGGTCATGTCGGAAGTTGCGTCATAAAAATAAAGTTTCTGCATCGTAAATCGATCCATGGTGGCATCATACAAACGTCTAAAACACGGATCATCGTAAGTCGAATCATGGTAAACCCGGCGACCGCCTGTCCATTCCCGGTCTCGCGAAACAACGTTGATCAAAACCGATGTCGGGACGAGGACTCTCCCTGCAGTAGACACGACCACGGCCCATACCTCCTCCTCCCCCCCTCCTCCTTCCCTCATCCCGTTCACCTTCCCCTCACCATCGTATTCGACGCTGAAGAAGACGTCGGTGGTGAGACGCGCGTAGCCCCCGGAGCCAGTGATGCGGAACCGCTCCCCGGGCTCGTAGTACGGCAGGTTGATGGCTTGCCCATCCAGCTGTAACGTGAACGTGGTGGCACAGTAGTGAGGATCAGTGAAAATGCAGCGGCAGTGTTTTTGGAAGCACAGTCGGTGCTCGCTTAGAGCAGCCTCAGCATCTTATTATGTTTTATTTTTATTATTTTATTACTTCCCTTCTACGTGACTTTACCGAAAGAACCAAGAAGATGAATCCCTGCAGTCACGAAAGCTTTAAATCAAAATTCAGCCTCAGCATCTCAAGGTTGAGCGGAAGGGTGGCAGTCTTCACGCAGACCCACCCTGTCATCAAGCGAGGAATCACGGCGAAAAATGCCTTCGACGCTGCGACCGAACGCTGACCATCGATCTCCCTCTCAGCTATCCAGAGCAACAACAACAACAGCAGCAACACGAGGCCATGCCAGTAGCCCCCATTCAGGGCCAACGAATGACAGCGTGGCCAGATGGGCCCTAGCTGGCACGACAGTGGAATAGAAACCTTTAATTTGCGGTGAGCATTCGAACAGTCCACGTGGCCACACGCAGTGCTTTCCTGCTATTGCTGGAGGAACCTCGAAGAGGGGGTGGGGGGTTTAATCTCCTGGCTCTGCCAAATGGGGTTTGGCTGTGAGATGTCATTAGCACCTGTCCCCCCCGAGGCATCCGATACAAACTCGTATTGATCTTTACAAATCGTTTTTGTTTGTAAATAAGTCCAGCAGCCGCCAGTCCATGGTACCTACCCAGAGCCCTCCCGGTGGCCAACGTGGCAGCTGCAAGTACCATGAGGGTATCAGCTCGGGGCACCGCCGATTAGCACGGTTGAAATGAGCTTTCACTTCCTCGTACTCACCCAGACGGCGCCGCTCTTCAGGAAGGAGATGGTGTAGCCGTAGATCTCGGTGTGCACCTCCCGCGTCCACGCCACGTCCGCGCGGCCCCGGTGCTCGTTCTTGGCGAGCACTCGCCACGCCGTTGGCTGCTGCTGCCCGCCCAGGCAGTTGGACGCCAACACGAAGGTGTGGGTGCCCATGTAGTTGAAGAGCCGCCCGTCAAACGAGCTGTAGTGGGGGTCGCCAACGGCGTAGCACTCGGCTGTGGGGAGGGAGTGCCAGAGACTTTTTCGCAAAACATCGTCGCAACCCTTCAACACGACTCATCCACTCAAAGAACGATCATACAAAATACAGGTTCAGGTAAAATCTTTTCAAATAATGTTTAAGATTCTGTGCCTAAAATGTCACAAAAAGTCTTCAATTAAAAAAGGAAGACATTTTAAAGTGTACAGGGTTGCTGTGAAATGCTCATAAAATGGTTTTCAATGAAATATTTGACAAGTGTAAATGCTGCTTAAATTTATTATAAATGTGTTAGTTGTGTTGTACAGTATAGTACAGGTACTGTAAATGTACCTAGTTTTAGGTACATGAAAAATACGTAATTTTTTTGGCTAGGCAACATTCTCATAAGTTACGGTCCCTATCCCTACCTTGTTCCATTGTTTATTGCGTTGCACAGGCAATGTTTACACTCGTAGGTCCCTATCGCCCCCCCCCCCCCCCCATGAACATAGAGTAGTATTCCTATGGGGGGAAAGGTCCCCGTTATACGCCGTCTCGTTATAAGTCACAACTTTCCGGTCCTTAATAACCCTCCATGTATATCGGGGATCCCCTATATGTACATTATGTATGTACATTCTGCCGTTTGACACCACTGCAACTTGAGCGATTGGGCACAGCGACGCTCACCGTAGACCTTCTTGCGCAGCGTGAACACCCAGTCCTTGCGGCCGTGCGCGTTGCTTTTTGTGACGATGGAGCCATTGACGACCATCATGGCAGCGCCCTCATCCACGGTGACGTAGAGCGAAACACCGCCGGCAAATACGTAGGGCGGCGTGGTGAAGCGGACCGCCGTGCCATTGGGCAGCAGTGTGACCGTGGTGCCATCCACGCGGTACACCTCCCGCCCGCTGCGCAGCTCCCAGAAGCGGAAGTACCTTGAGACGGTAGGCAGGACGATCTGGTGGGGGCAAGGGAAAGGGTGGAGCTGAGTGAGCAGGGCGTCCTCGTCTTCTTGTCATATGGCTTCTAATGTAAACACAGAGCGTCGACTTCAATTTCACATTCGGGTGGTCAAGCGATGGATAACAACCACGTCAGGAGCATTCCAGTGGCATCGATGTGATGTCTACCTTCGTATTTGTGGATCGGGGCATTGCATCATTATATGTTGTACGGTCTGTTCTGGGGTAGTGATAGAAGGAGTGATGGGGTCGTGATAGGGATAGTGATAGTCTTCTTCTTCCATACGAGCTGCTGATTTAGATGTAAAGCTACAACTACAATGTCACATCAAGGTGGTCAAGCGACAGACAACCACATCAGGAGCAGTAGCGGAATAGTTGTCTAATGCGAGCGTAAGCGAGGGTTCGCCGCTCAGTTCTGGGCCAATCGGACGGCCCGGAGTATTGGGGGCGGGGCCCAGTAAGGTGGGCGTATGGGGAGGTCCGCCGCCCACCTCTGGTCTAATCGGATGCCCGGATGATCAGGGGCGGAGCCTAGGGGCGGAGCTGGGGGGGGGGGCGCTAAGTGAAGGGCGTGATCTGGAAGGTTCGGAAAGGGCGTGTGGAAGGTGAAGACGGGATGACCAGTGAGGGGAATAAAAGGGGGATCTGGAAAAGGCTCGGGGCAGTTGGCATAGACTCGAAGTGGGACCACGTCGAGCCGTGGGAGGTCTCCAGCGCCATCGGCCACGTGGCTGGAGACGGCTCCAAGCACACCATTAGCCAACGGTGTGCGGGAGTGCAACTGACGGAAAGAGCGCGCGGGGCGCGCCAGTAGAACAGCCGGTCCACAGTCGGGACCGTCGGAGTGTGAGTGGAAAAACAAGAATAAAGACAGAGATGGAGACCAAGCTGTGTGTCGTCAACGTCCTTTATTACAGTTGTATCATCATCATCATCACCACTGTGATGTCTCCTTCTTTGAATTCGTGGATCAGGGCATTGGGCCATTACACGTTGTATGGTCTCTGTTCTGGATGATCACGGTCGCACCATGACTACCGGAGAGTTTTAAATTTTCCATTTGTGCATCTTCAAGTATGCCATGGTTTATGCAGAGTAGACCTTGAACTGAGTGGGACAAACGCGCGTGAAGAAGAAGAAGAAATTGCATAAGCACATAAATCGAGAGAAAAAAAGTTCCCTTGCCCACCTCGTCGCTGAAGGTGATCGTCCACTCGATGGGGAAGTCGCTGGTGGTGATGCTGTCGTAGGAGAATGCGATGGGTCCGCCGGTGCCTAGAGTGGACATGGTACACACGACACGCGACACACCACGACATTAGTGGTGCCCATAGACTCGTCACACAGAGACCCAGAGACTCATCACACAGAGACCCATATATACATCACATAGAGATGCACAGATTCGTCACACAAAGACCCAGAGACTCATCACGCAGAGATCCACAGAATCGTCACACAAAGACCCATAGACTCATCACACAGAGACCTATATACAGTATACATCACATAGAGACCCACAGACTCGTCACACAGAGACCCATAGACTTATCACACAAAGACCCATAGACTTATCACACAGAAACCCATAGATACATCACATAGAGACCCACAGACTCGTCCCACAGAGGCCCATAGACTCATTACTCAGAGACCCATAGACTCGTGTGCCACCGTGCTGGAGTCGCGATGTTCACACACCCCACCAGGTACCATCACAAATCATAGCTCAGTAAAGTAGCAGCCAAATACTCTTAAACGCATGATTCTAAATGTGGAAGAAAAAACCAGAGAACCCGGAGAAAAATCCACGTGACCACGTGGAGAACATGCAATCTCCAAATATACAGCAGGCGTCACAGGTTGGTATTGAACCCACGATCTCCTGTATACCAGCCTAGATAGTTACTGTATCATTCCACAGTAACACCGTTGCATACCCTCAGTTATTTGACCCGCCATCTTACTACGTGGCATTGCGTATTGGTAGTACATCGTATCTCGTCAAACTTTCCAGGCACTTTCAAGGAAAGCATCTCTCGCGTTAAACGAGGCCTCCCTATTTACGCATATTCATGATGTAATATGAATGCGAATGAACGTGCGTGCAGAGCTGAGCAATGTGATTGGCTCACCTTCAACGACGACATTGACGCAGCGCAGCTCGGTCTCCTGGCTGCTCGCGCACGGCACACATGGGTGAATAACGCACGGGTGAGTGACGCGTGCAGGCGAGTGATGCCCGAGTGAGTAACGCGCATGGGTGAGTAATGCGGCCCACACTACCATCTCAACCTTCCTTTTTCCTCGTCCCAGGACTTGCAATCCCATAAACAACAAAAAAAACACCGACCTAAAGCAACACACCTCTTGACCTGCTTTATGTACCTATGTTAAACTTCTTTGTCACTGTATGTAGCCAACCGTGCTAATCGGAGGTGCGGGGGAAGTACAACAAACTAAACTTAACAACAAGCAGTTCTAAAAAAATACATTTATCAAGATAGATTATTTAAAATTGCATAGCTTCAGTGGCTTCCTAATATTGAAAGAGAATTGAGAGCAAATAAAGATATCCAAACTCTTGATAATGATAAGGGCCGATGTCTCATGAGGATTATGATAATAAAATCAGATATTTATTCAATGAAGGTAACTACCTTAAAATTAAATGAGACCCAACCAATGCCTTTGATTGTAAGACTACTGCAATCATTGCCACGTCGTCAATTCCCAAGGAAGAGCAATACCTGATCAAACTAAGGGCGTCAAAACCATCAAGACCTCATGGATTGCCAATAATTCACAAACCTGATGTCCCATAAAGACCCATAGTACAATAGGCCCTGCCACATTCAAATGAGCACAATATGTAATACAAAATACAGACCTACATCAACAGGGCCTCTTCGCTCATTAAAAACTCAGAATATCTTGAAAATATAATTAAATATATTTAGCTTAACCCTAATGATATTCTGGTAAGTTTCAATGTGACTTCTCTGTTCACGAGGGTTCCGCTGAACGAGTAAATTAAGTTACTCGAGCCTCTGGTAACTAGCACAGGTTTACCCAACGGTATTCCACGACTAGCTCAGAACTGTCTAAAGAACACCTATTTCTTGTGGAAAGGTGATTTCTATTAACGAAAGAAAGGAGCAGCAATGGGCTCTCCTTTGTCTAATGCCATTGCGAATCTGTACATGGAAGACTTTGAAGCAAAAGCAATAGCTTCAAGCACACGTAAACATATATTTGGTTATTACAGGGTGTTTAAAAGAGATGGACCCGAATTGAAATCGCTATATCTCTGCAAACTCGAACCACCCATGAATGAAACTCTTACCACTTGAAAGGGCGGGGCATAGAGTTTCAAATGATTACTGCACAAATAGCCCCTAGCCTCAGTCATTCGCAAGATGGTGACCATGCAACACAAGGCGTTTTGCGTTTTGCAGTTCAGCAAGACTGAATCCGTAATTCAGGTGCAGCGTGCATTCAACGGCGTTTAGGCATTGATCCGCCAATGTCAAAGAGTATGGTGGCACAAAAGACCGTGTTTTTGTGCCACCATTAGCGACTAATCTGGATGATTTCAAAAACAGAATCACGGCAACGGTGACTTCAGTGGAAGAAGACACTTTGAGAGGCGTTTGGGACGCATTCAACTATCGTCTCGATGTTGTCCGTACAGCAGGTAGAGGGCACACAGATCATTTATAAAATGGTTAGTAAATCTTTATAACTCATTAAACCGTTTGTAACTTTTAGTGTAATTGTAACATGTTGCCATCGTGAAATATACTGCTTTGAAATTGGGTTAATATTTTTCAAACACCCTGGAAATGTGGATGACACATTGGTGGTCTGGTCACATGGTAAAGATACACAATGCATTTTTAAATCATCTCAACTCGCAAAACCCATCCAGTCCACCATGGAAGTGGAGGTGGATAACAATCTCCCATTTCTGGATATTCTGCTCAGGCGCGGCCGAAACAGTAAAATAACACAGCGTTTGTAGAAAGAAAATGCACCCTGACACCTATCTGAATGTGGAGTCACACCATCACCCCACACAGAAATTATCTCTCATCAAGTCGCTCATACATCGGGCTGGGAATGTGTCAGATGGTGAAAGTCTGAGGAGTGAGATTAAAGATGTTAAAGAAACGCTGCAATTGAACGGTTACAATGATGCACAAATCAACAGGGCACTGAATGCCAACACCACATCAAATAGCACAAGTGTTGAAATTGACTAAGCAATTAAAACTATTAAAATACCGTAAATTTCGGGAGTAACTGGAAAACTAGCCAGAATTTTTGAAAAAACAAAACGTCCGAGTGAGATTTGGCATGGTACATAAAATAAAAATATCTGGTACTAAAGATGTATTACCAAAGCTATCAACAGAAGGTGTGTACCGGATTAATTGCTCCTGTGGAAAATGCTACGTTGGTCAGACGGGACGAATATTCAGCATGAGAGTAAACGAACACCATAGGCATACGAAAGAGTCCCAAATACAACTCGGCAGTTGAAGAAAACACGTGTGCCAAGAAAGTCATTAAAATGCCACCACCCCCCCCCCCCCACTCCTTGTCTGCCGGCTCTACTGACGCGTTGCTGTCGGAGGCGTAGAAGCAGATCTGGTGGCTCTGCACGTCTTTCCGTCCCGGTGTCCAGCTCAGCGTCGTGTGGAAGAGCTTCGAGTTTCCGGCGTCGGCCTCCAGGGCACCCTTCTGCACCCCGACAGGCGCGATGGTTCCCAGCCGCACGATCGTCACGCTGTGCGGACAGACACGCACAGACATACATGGACACACGTGAAAGACACACACGGATACGCGCGGCACAACAACAACTGGCGGTGACGTCACTACGACGCTTGTGCCAGGCTATGTGCACGTAGAAGCCACGTGATGTGTCGAACGCCCGTTGGCAGGAGGTCACGGGGCAGACCCAGGTGCCACGGATCGATTGACTGTGATGACTGGCTGATGTACCACCTGTGCCCCCTACTGTGCCAACTTGCTGTGCTTTATCCACCCGGCGCTCCACTCGTTGTTGTGAGCGTCGCTCCTCCACCCTTTGTTATTGTTGGAGGGCGATTGCCTCCACCTGCCGAGTAGCGTCCTTCACGAGCCTCATCCACAGAGGCCGATCCTGACATTGCTGGTACCAGTCATCGGCAAGTCCACTCAGCTCCACATCTTTCCGTACCACATCATTCCATCTCTTCTCTAGACCGTGGCGCGCCCGTTTAGACCCCTCTTTCCAGCTGAACTAAAGCTGTTTAGGAATGCGGTGACTGGGCATGCGGGCTACATGACCCAGCCAACGCAGCCTTGCCGGCTGGAGGAGCTGACCGATGGGACTTTGTCCAGATATTTAAAGAATATGTGAGCTCCTCACACAATCCAGCCTGGTTATACGCAGGATGGATCGTAGGCAGGCCAGTCTAAATGTTTCTAACTGGAGTAGATGTTCAATTAAGGGGGTCCACCTTTCGCAAGTGTAGCGAAGGGAGGGAATGACCATGGCCGAGAAGACCTAAACCTTCAAGCGGAGCGACAGACCTGGTAGCTTCCACACAGCGTTATGCAACCGATGAAAAGATAATGCCACTGGACTGATTCGGAACGAGACCTCTGCTATCACATCGGAGCCGGTCATGAGCATACTGCCCAGGTATGGGAAACTCTCCACTCTCTCCACAACTGCCCAATCACCAATTGGGAGTTGTGGGGGTGGAGTGTCCGATGATACAAAATACCCAGGCAGGTGCTTAGTTTCGGTGGGGCTGATGGTAAGGCCCCACCTCTTAGTGACACGCTCCAGATTCAGCAGCAGCACCTCCAACTTCTCCTCTGAGTGAGCGGCAATTACCAGATCATCAGCATACATAACGTGGTTGACCAATAGGGAGCCATCCCTTGACCGCACCCGGGCATCAATCAGCCTCCCATTGTATCTGTACCAGATATAAATTCCTCCGCTAGAGCCATAGAAGGCTTCATGAACTACGTGGTCAAAAAATATGTTAAACAATGTGGGAGCCAGAAGACATCCCTGTCGCATCCCAAGGTGAATAGGGAAAGGCTCTGACTTTTAGCCACGGAGTTTTACCCGGGCCCGCTCACCATCATTAAGGTCCTTAATGATCGTGAGCAGAGGGTCAGGGACTCCGAAAGCATGAAGAATAACCCAGAGCCCAGGCCAACTGATTGTATCATAGGCCTTGACCAGGTCAATAAAGCAGAAATGTAGGTTTTTTTGGAATTCGCTATACGTCTGCTGTAGTAGACAGACAGGAAATATGGCATATGTGCAGGCCCGCCCTTTCCTGAAACTGCATTGGGGCTCTGCCAGCCTCTCCTTAGTGTGCCTGGCAAGGTGATGTTGAATAATCCTTGCCAGGACCTTTCAAGGCACATTGAGGAGTGAAATGCCCCTGTAGTTGTTACAGTCTGTGCGGTCCCTCTTCTTAAAGAGGGGGACTACCAGGGCATCCTTCCAATCCTGCGGAACCTGTTCAGTGATCCAGACTGTTGTTATGATGTCATGTAGGGCAGTCTCTGCACAAACGCCACCCTACCTCAGCATTATGCTTGGGAGATCATCTCTGCCGGGTGCCGTTCCTGGTCTCAGACTCTGGATCGCCTTTAGTACTTCCTCAACAGATTTCACCTCAGCCAGCCACTCACAGGGGGTGACTTCTGCTTCCAATATTTGAGACATCGTAGCCTCAGCGGGGTCATCCCCACTTTGTCCCACAATGTTTTTTCTGCCGAGGGATTTCCCCACCCCCATGACTTCAAAGAAATGCTCAGCAAATCTGCAAACCTGTTCCTGGGGGTCGGAGATTGGATCACCGTTTTTTCTCCTAATGATGGTAATAGGTGTGGTGCTGCAGGCTACTTTTTTGATGGAGTTAAATAGCAATTTGTGATCGAGGGCCATTGAGGCAGACTCCATCTCCTCAGTAACCCGTGACCACCACCCATCCTTGCAGTGCCTCATGGCTCTCCAAAACTCCGAGCGAAGGCTGCGGTAAGCTTCCTCATTCTCTGACGTGGGATGCTGTAGACGATTAGAGTGGGCCTGTCGCTTTTTCCCAGCTAGCCTGAACACCTCCTCTGTCAGCCAGTGTATCTGAGGAGGTCTTGACCGTGTACCAAATTCAGCCATTGCAGCTGAATGAGCCACAGTACTAAAACCTCGCGCACTTCCCCTCAACATCAGGAGGAGGTGGGGACGATGCCAACCCGAGCCCCAAGCGATGATAACATTCTAGCTTACAACTTTCGTCAGCTAGCTGATACCAGGCCACCTTGTATTTGAATGGGTCCTGGGTGTACACCCACCACCAGAGTGGAAGAATGGCAGGCACATCTTACAGATGGCAAATCGATGGTCAGTGGGCAGATCAGCTCCACGGTAGGTCCTCGTGTCAAGGACATGGGCCAGCATCCACTGTTCCGTCAATATGTAGTCCAGCAGATGTTCTTCCTTGGACCTGGCATGCATCCATGATACTGTGTGGATGCGCCGATGCCGGAACAGCGTGTTGGTAATTAGAAGCCCATGGGCTGCACAAAAATCAAGCAACCTCCTATTGTTGTTATTGAGCTGATCTGGCCCATGTCTTCCAATCACTCCAGACCAGGTGCCAGCATCACGACCAACTCGGGCATTGAAGTCGCTCAACAGGATGACTCTATCCCGAGGAGCCACTTTAGCTAGCACCTGTGACAGTAGGTCATAGAAGCCATCTGAATGATCGGCCTTGCCTGCATCCCTCCACGGATGTTCATCTTTGGTGGGGGTATAAGTAACCACGACCACTATTCCTCGCCTCCGGTTGATGGGAAGACGAGCCCAAAGTAGTCGTGGGTTTACTGCTTCCCACACCTCACCGCCACGCATCCACACCCCCTTAATATTTTGTTCAGAAGAAGAGCCACTCCCTGTTGTTTGGTGGTCTCCTACCCCGAGTAGAGGACAGTCCACCCTTCATGGTGGCAGGAGCCAGAGCCGGTTCACCGAACCTCCTGAATGCCACTGAGATCCAGGCTGTACTGGTCCAGCTCCCGACAGAGGAGTGGCAGCCTCTCCTCCGCAGTGAGCATTCGAACATTCCACGTGGCCACCCTCAGTGGTTTTTTGTTGTTTCTGGCGGAGCTCCGAGGGTAAAGATTCAATCTACTGGCTCCGCCAAATGGGGTTTGGCCAGGAGACGTCAGAGATGCCTCTCCCCCTGTGGCCTCCGGCACACGCTTATTAATTATATATTTAAATGTGGGTTTGTGGTAATTGATTGAAGATGGAGGGGTTACCAGCCCCTCGCACCTGTCCAGAGCCCCCATTTAGCCACTGTGGTGGTTACAAACGCCATTAGGGGAATAACCAATCTAAATTGGGCCCTCCCCCCACGGCACTGCCCACCACAGCATTGCCGTCCGGCACCATGAGGAGGTAGGGAGTTGTTTTTCCGGATACATACGGACACATGTATCTGAATGTATCAAGCGGTCACCAAGGCGGGTACCACTGAGGTCACCACACTTACTGATCGTCATCTCTAGGGGGTGGTGAGACATCTCTCGAGGGTAGAGATAAATCTCTAGGGGGTAGTGCGACATCTTTAGAGGGTAGTGAGACATCTCTAGGGGGTAGAGAGAAATCTCTAGAGGGTAGCGAGTCATCTTTAGGGGGTAGTGATACATCTCTACGGGGTAGTGAGACATATCTAGGGGGTAGTGAGTCATCTCTAGGGGGTGGTGAAACATCTCTAAGGGGAAGTGAGACATTTCTAGGGGGAAGTGAGACATTTCTAGGGGGCAGTGAGACATCTTTAGTGAGCAGCGAGTTCAATGAGCGTCTCTCCCAGTTGACGATGTCACCACCGCTCGTTCACTCACTCACCCTGGTGCTGCGTCGCTGGGGAGGGTGACGTCCACCTGCAGATTGAAGGGGAGCCCCTGCGTAGCCTGGAACGTTTGTCCGGCACGGGGGGTTGCTCCCGTGAACAGGGGACCCGAGCACGAGCTTCCCGTCTCGACTGCCAAAGCAAAAAGACGGCGGGGGGTGCGGGTACATGTTTTACTCGCGCGGTTCAGATCAGAAGGTCAGAATCTTTATTTCGACTGCAGGAGGAATCCGATGAGCTGTGAAGCTTTTTTCTAACAGATGTCCAGTTAGGGGCACGGGGGTCAGTAAGTTACGACAATAAACAATGCACAACAACGATAGGAGTACAAAGTATAAAAAGGTGAGCAAATAAATAAAGAAATACAAGTTAAACTGAGCTATTTTTATCTTACCAGGTAAAACCCACTGAGCTATGTAGATCATTTTTCAGAAGCGACCTGGCCACAAATGATAGCTCAACGAAGTGGCATATCACGTGGAAATTCATAGCAGAAAAATCATCTAAATAATATAGATGCATGTTTCTAAATGCGGACAGAAAACCCGGAAGACCCAGGTAAAAAAATCCACGCGACCATCACGGGGAGAGAGAGAGACCCGCAGACTCCAAATATACAGCAGACGTCAGGTTTGGAATCGAACCCCCGACCTCCTGCATACCAGGCGAGGTAGTTAACATTTACTAGCCACCGGGGTGTAGCATTGGCTTTGACGGAGCACCGTGGTGTCGTGCATCGTCACGTTCTTTGCCCAAACTACTGCGTTGTTTAATTTGTTTTCCCCAAATAAACGTTGCCGGGAATTGGTGTATATTAAATCGAGTTGCACTCTGCTAGGGGGACGGGGGACAAACTGCATGGAGTTGCCACGAAATAGTTTTTCACGAAACGATCCGATGTCAATGCACCCCTCTCCCCCCACCCCGAACGTGACGACTGTCAGCAGTTATTATTCTGGCTTTTTGTCTTTGCATGAAAGGATCTTTAGTTGCGTTGAATAGCGTAAATTATCTATTTGGCGTTTGAACATCTTAACACCTCTTTTATTGTCATGAAGAGTTACTTCGCGACGCGCGCGCGCGCGTGCTGCGACTCACTCTCGAAGAGGACCTGCAGTGGGATGCTGGAGAGCGGGCTGCTGGGGGAGTACGAAGCAGAGTCCATGGTGATGCTATTGCGCGGGAAGTCCTCGATCATCAGCGCCAAGGCCCAGAGGCCGGAAGCGGTCACGGGCACCGTGAACGTGATGGTGCACGCGTCCTGCCACACACACAGCGCAACAGCAACACAAAACAGGGCACATACATTCATCCGTCCACGTAGTTTTCCGTTTGCCGCGTAGACTTTCGAGGTCCGGCTCTGTTAGCTATCATACAATGGTACGTCGAAGCCGAGCCAAATGCGGGAGCCATCACTGTGCTGGTGTTTTATTTTTTTCCACTGGCTACGTATCGTGCCGAGCCTGAACCAACCTGTGATGTGCTGCTGGCCTCGCAAGAAGACGTCTAAATCTAGCTCAAGGACAGGCAGGGCCTGGGAGCGGGGCTAATGACACGTACATTGAGTTGTGACGTTATCACGCCTGAAGAAGAAGCTAAACAAAATGGCGTCCGAGCGACGTCGGCCCTTTGGGGCGTTGAATAAGTGTGTGCGTGAGCGAGTGTTTGTGTGTCTCTGAATGTATGTACGTGGGGAGTGGTAGTGTAGCAGTAAGCATGCTGCGCTCGAACCTGAGTTTGATTCCTGCTCACGGCCAGTACCAGTGACGATTATCTGAACCGGTCCTGGACCTACCCTATGTCGACTCAGCCTCAAATGAATACCTGGTGCGGTGTGTAAACATCGCCACATGGTTAGACAAAGCAGGCCAAGCATGGTGCTGGCAACGCACCCCCTATTGTGCCGTGCCGAACTTCATAAGTGCTCGCCAACAGCACTCGCTGCTACAGTCTGTGGAGGCTATACGGGGGATCTTTATCTTGTTCCATGTATGTTGAACTTCTTTCACACCGTATGTAGCCAACCATGCTAATTGGAGGTGTGGGGGAAGGACAACAAGCTGAACACAAAGAGCAGCTCTAAAGAAATGAGTTTTTCAATCTAGATGATTTATAAGTGCACAGCTCCCAATGACTTCCTAATATCAGAAGGAAGAGCCTTTCAGACGGCCGCACGATGCCAAGAGGGAGTCATTGGTGAGCAGTGGCACCACAGGTTAGCGCGCTAGAACGTTCAGCGGTGCAGCCTCAGTGTCTCAAATTTCCCAAGCCAGCCAGGCCACCACCACCACCTCCTCCTCTCTCCTCTTCATCTCGTGATGGAAGTGACAGGGACGTACCTGATTCAGCGTCCCAAAGGGCGCGACTCCGCAGATGTCCCCACACTCGTCGTGCACGTTTTTGTTGGCATATCGACACTTCACCACATCGCCATCAGCGTCCAACACGGGGATGGTCCACACCTTGGTGCAGCCCACTTTGAGCCTGAGGGCACACGTGACGACCCCGGTGATGCGAGTTGAACTAAAACTAAACTAAAAACCACTTAGTATTTAATCTTAATTTGGAGCTTAGTATTACCAGGTAAGGCCCCACTGAGCTGTGTAGCTCTTAGTCAGAAACGAACTGGCCATCACAAATGATAGCCCAAGGATGTTGGCTGATCACGTGGAATGTATAGCAGCAATGGTGACAGTTTTATAGACTCGTCAAAGGACAAAGATCCCCCGTATAGCCTTAACAGACTTTTGGGGTAAGTGCTATTAGTGAGACCATATGAAGGCCAGCACGGCACACGAGGGGGTGGGTGGCCAGCACCAAGCCCGGCCGCCTTAGTCCCTCGAGGGTCAATGTTTACACATCGCACCAAGGACCATCATAAATGATACAGTGAGGGAAAAAAGTATTTGATCCCCTGTTGATTTTGTACGTTTGCCCACTGACAAAGAAATGATCAGTCTATAATTTTAATGGTAGGTTTATTTGAACAATGAGAGACAGAATAACAACAACAAAATCCAGAAAAACGCATGTCAAAATGTTATAAATTGATTTGCATTTTAACGAGGGAAATAAGTATTTGACCCCCTCTCAAATCAGAAAGATTTCTGGCTCTCAGGTGTCTTTTATACAGGTAACGAGCTGAGATTAGGAGCACACTCTTAAAGGGAGTGCTCCTAATCTCAGCTTGTTACCTGTGTAATAAAGGTCGTTGAGGCAACTTCTGGAATCCGGTCTTTTATTCAACTTGTATTACAGCTTTCCTTCACGCTGCTGACAGGCAGCGTGAGAGGGACAGAGAGAGAGAGACGCACCGCCACGTGGCAACCCGGAGCCACGCTCCCGCGTGGCCCCCTTCATCCGTTCGTTCCCGTTCTGACCCCGTGTCGTTCGTCTCCACCCCTATTTAATACCCGGGTCACGTGGTACGTTTTCACCAATCCTGGATAGCCTCCATGGAATATTCCAGGCTCCCTCGTAGGCTCCCGGAACCACGCCCCTGACTCATCTCCCCATTGGCTGTGGCCAAAGCCAGCAGAACCAATCCTCTCCTTACAGCTGTCACCTTTCCATTATGTCAGGGCCACGCCCCTAGGCTTCCCCCCATTGGCTATAAACCAAGACCGTCAGAGCCAATCATCATGACGAGTTGTGATACGTCAGTGAGCCGGATATATCCTCACATTACACCTGTATAAAATACACCTGTTCACAGAAGCAATCAATCAATCAGATTCCAAACTCTCCACCATGGCCAAGACCAAAGAGCTCTCCAATGATGTCAGGGACAAGATTGTAGACCTACACAAGGCTGGAATGGGCTACAAGACTATCACCAAGCAGCTTGGTGAGAAGGTGACAACAGTTGGTGTGATTATTCGCAAATGGAAGAAACACAAAATAACTGTCAATCTCCCTCGGCCTGGGGTTCCATGCAAGATCTCAACTCGTGGAGTTACAATGATCATGAAAACTGTGAGGAATCAGCCCAGAACTACACGGGAGGATCTTGTCAATGATCTCAAGGCAGTTGGGACCATAGTCACCAAGAAAACAGTTGGTAACACACTACGCCGTGAAGAACTGAAATCCTGCAGTGCCCGCAAGGTCCCCCTGCTCAAGAAAGCATATATACATGCCCGTCTGAAGTTTGCCAATGAACATCGGAATGATTCAGAGGACAACTGGGTGAAAGTGTTGTGGTCAGATGAGACCAAAATGGAGCTCTTTGGCATCAACTCAACTTGCCGTGTTTGGAGGAAGAGGAATGCTGCCTATGACCCCAAGAACACCATCCCCACCGTCAAACATGGAGGTGGAAACATTATGCTTTGGGGTTGTTTTTCTGCTAAGGGGACAGGACAACTTCACCGCATCAAAGGGACGATGGACGGGACCATGTACTGTCAAATCTTGGGTGAGAACCTCCTTCCCTCAGCCAGGGCATTGAAAATGGGTCGTGAATGGGTAATCCAGCATGACAATGACCCAAAACACACGGCCAAGGCAACAAAGGAGTGGCTCAAGAAGAAGCATATTAATGTCCTGGAGTGGCCTAGCCAGTCTCCAGACCTTAATCCATAGAAAATCTGTGTAGGGAGCTGAAGGTTCGAGTTGCCAAACGTCAGCCTCGAAACCTTAATAACTTGGAAAAGATCTGCAAAGAGGAGTGGGACAAATTCCCTCCTGAGATGTGTGCAAACCTGGTGGCCAACTACAAGAAACGTCTGACCTCTGTGATTGCCAACAAGGGGTTTGCCACCAAGTACTAAGTCATGTTTTTCAGAGGGGTCAAATACTTATTTCCCTCATTAAAATGCAAATCAATTTATAACATTTTTTACATGCGTTTTTATGGATTTTGTTGTTGTTATTCTGTCTTTCACTGTTCAAATAAACCTACCAATAAAATTATAGACTGATCATTTATTTTTCAGTGGGCAAACGTACAAAATCAGCAGGGGATCAAATACTTTTTTCCCTCACTGTAGTTCAACAAAGTGGTTTATGATCACGTGGAAATTTATAGCTGCCAAATACTCTAAACACGTGATGTTTGTTATAAATGTGGAAAGAAAAACCAGAAGACCTGGACAAAAATCCACGCAACCAGAGAGAAACACGCAAACTTCAAATATACAGCAGGCGTCAGGGTCGGAATCGAACCCACGACCTCCTGTATACCAAGTGAGGTAGTTAACATCTCGCCACCGCCAGTTATATACTTTGGGCCAGTGCGGTGCGGCAACCCTGTACGTATGCATGTTGAACTTTTTTCGCACCGCAAGTAGCCAACCACGCTAATCGGAGGTGCAGGGGAAAGACTACGTGTCATATCAAATGTGTCATATGAAACGAAGTCACGGGTCGTGTGAAGTAAAGTCAAGGGTCGTGTAAAGTGAAGTAGTGGGTCATGTGAAGTGAAGTCATGGGTCGTGTAAAGTGAAGTAGCGGGTCATGTGAAGTGAAGTCATGGGTCGTGTAAAGTGAAGTAGCGGGTCATGTGAAGTGAAGTCACGAATCGTGTGAAGTGAAGTAGCGGGTCATGTGAAGTGAAGTCATGGGTCGTGTAAAGTGAAGTAGCGGGTCATGTGAAGTGAAGTCATGGGTCGTGGGAAGTGAAGCAACAGGTTACGTGAATCACGGGTCATGTGAAACAAAGTTATGGGTCGTGTGAAGTGAAGTCACGGGTCGTACTTGGCCCCGTGGGCCACAGGCTCCCCCCAGGCTTGGTGCAGCCACGTACTTGATGAGCGGCTTGGAGGTGGTCATGGGGGAGATGTTGGGGCTGCCGGTGTCGCTCCGGGTCCCAGGGTTGAGTATGGCGATCACGGACCACGAGCTTGCCACGCTCTGGGTCCCGTAAGCGGTGATCACGTTCGCGCTCACCCAGCAGCAGCTCGCGAAGCTATAGTCGGACCAACATGCGCGGCGTGCCACCACCGCAATCATCATCATTGGCAACAGCACCATCTCTGGCGCCATCCATGTCACGGTGGTCATCTATTTATATCTTTATTTTATTTTAACTGGGTCAGGGCCTACTGAGCTATATAGCTCTTTTTCAGAAGCGACCTGGCCATCACCAATGATAGCTCAAAGAAGTGGCTTATCATACGGAAATTTATAGCATCCAAATACTATAAACGCGTGTTTATAAATGTGGGGGGGGGGGGGGGGAAACCCGGAGGGTCCGGAGAAAAATCCACGCAACCACGTGGAGAGAAGGCATACCCTCCAAGCAGGTGTTAGGGTCGGGATCAAACCCACGACCTCTTGTATACGAGGCGAGGTAGTTAACATAGCCGAGGCACCAGTGGCGGCTCCTGCAAAATCTCTCAGGGGGGGCAAATGTCTGGATGATTGATAAGGATAAGGTCCACCCATGCAATGGATACATTAACAGCTTAAGCATGTAAAGGCAACTTCACTTCTTTAATATTAATGAAAAATAAAGTGACTCTTACAATACATCTTGTTTGTTTCTATACTCACTATTAAAACAAACCACTCAAGTTTATTTTATTAAAGATTCCACTAGGTGGCAACAAATTATATTGTTGGATGAAACGTGCTTACGTATGATGACGTAAGCACGTATGATGACGTAAGCATGTATGATGACGTAAGCACGTTTGGGCGAGCCCTCCCGGAAGCCATAGAGAATGCATTGCAGCGACCCCGTTCGAAAAAAAACATCTTTGAATGTAAGTCTATGGAGCCACTCGGGGCGATTCTCAGCTGGAGGGAAATCGCCCAAAAAGAGGCGGTACTCCACAGAACGTGACATGACGCTGATTGGACTATATCCAGAGGCTGCAGTGACGGCTAGCGTGACTTTGTGGTTCAATGACATTGGTGGTGCGTCGCCCAATCGCCCTAATGAAGAAACCGCCCTTGCTAGGCACCGTAGCGCCTTTCGTACATACGTTGCCGTCGTCATTATCGTCATCATCGGCCACGTGTCTCTCACCTGACGATGCTCTGCTGCGTGCTGGGGACGGTGAAGTTGAAGTTCCCCATGCCCACCATCCAGTCCGAGTTGCTGTTCTGCTCGATACACGCGATGCTCATAGTGCGGGTTTCACTGCAGCCCTGGGTGCATTGCCACTGGTCGCCCGTGGAGAAGTACGCTCCGGCCGCGATGTCATTGTCCGTGCAGGGGGTCATGGAGGAGCGGCGCCAGGCCATCATGTAGCTGAACTTCACCTGGCGGAAGAGAGTCAACGCGGGCGGCACGAGTGCGGTTGTCGTCTGGTGACGGGTAACGAGTGCGCGTGGGGTTCGATCCCCGACCCCTGACTATGCCTGCTGCTGTATTTTTGGAGTTTGCGGTGTCTCTCCACCCCCCCACCCCCCCCCGTGGTGGTTGCGTGGATTTTTTTTATCCCGGTCCTCTGGTTTTCCCCTCCACATTTAGAATCGACATCACGCAGTATTCAGCTGCTGCTGCAAATGACCACGTGATGAGGATGATCAGCCGCCACTTGGTTGAGCTGATACCATTTGTGATGGCTTCTGACAAAGAGACACGTTGCTTGGTGAGGCAAACAATACAAACTGGATTACAGCAATTAACATTATTATTATGGAGAGAACTTTGCGGATTTTCTCTACGTTTGAATGCAGAAGTGCACCTCTAATCATACGGCTATTAAAGATAATTAATAATAAAGATGACGACGAGAGTTTTCTGGCTTGCTGCTGGTTGGCCTCCTTTCCTCCCCAAACACGAACTCTGTTGCTGTTGGTAGTGGCTGCTGCGGGACCATTGCCACCGAAAATAGCTGGGTAACTGGCTACACGGGATTTTCCAGGTAACACACATTCCTGCGGAGGGAGCTGGTAGGAACGTTGGGTTGCTCGGTCAATGGCCAGGGTCAACGGCGGCGTGGTGTATTCCGCAAATATGGGCGACTGTGAGGGCAGGCACAAGCCGGTGTGAGTAGGTTAAACGTTGATTTGTATAAGGGCACCACGGAGTGACCAGCCCCTCCCCACCCAGACCCACCCCTCCCACCCCCCACCCAGCCCCACCCTCCCCACCCAGCCCCACCCTCTCCATCCAGCCCCTCCCCACCCAGCCCCTCCCCACCCAGCCCCTCCCCTCCCCACCCAGCCCTCCCTCCCCACCCAGCCCCTCCCTTCACGACGGACGGACGGACACAAGAATCCCCTGTGGGCTGGTGGAACCAGTGGGTTCCTATCAGTATTAAAGATTGCATTGATTTAAACAGGCGTGGGGAAGTTTGGGGAAGACGTTTAATAATTATAGTAATATATAGCAACACCAGAGAGGTGGGAGTTAGACATGCAGAATAATCACACGTGACGTTTTTGTTATGTTAGATCGCGTAAATATAAATGTTTCGTTAAATGTTGTAGTTGTGGGTTTTACTCTCCAGCACACAACCAGTTAGTGCTGAGCTAGTAGCGAATTGGCCACGTTTTGTTTACGTGGCAACCCCCTTTACTGATTGGACGTGACAGGTGGTGATGGGGGGTTTAACGACACGGCATTTATATTCACCCAATTTAACCCAACAAAAAAACGTTTATTATTAATAATATTGGTTGCGAAAGCCTAACTACTTCGTGTGAAAAATACTGACACAGCTCGCTTAAAATAGCTCTTAACTTTTAGACTGTGTGTGCTGTCAGTTTAAATGTACTTCTTTCATTTCTATACAAGCGGACGCACAATGCGCTTCTCCAGGAACTGCTAATTTGATTATTTTTGTTGCATAATGCACAAAGAATGCGATGATTTTTACAAAAAAATATTTTGTCATATCCTTAAGTTCGTGCTTTTTCCGGCACGGTACATTTTTCTGTTGTGATGGGGGAAGGGGGCTTCCCCTGCTACCTTTCAATTCATATCACAGTCGACGCATCAGAACGCAATGCCTCCTTCAATACATCCGCTTCTCCACGTAACGAATGTGAGTATTCATTTACACGACCCATCGCCCCCCCCACGACCCGCCTGTGAGTGAGGAAGTTTTCAGCAGCGTTGGTTCAGTACAAGTGCAGTAATTGTCCCACACGATCCCTGGGAACTAGAGTCGCCAATAAGGCTGGAGAGCAAACAATCCACCCTCCGATTGGTTAAGGGTACGGGGGAGCCAAGAGGGTTGTCCCCGGGGACGTTCAAAAGGGGAATAAGTATAACCCGTAAAAACAAAGTTTTTCACTATAAATCCTTTATATGCGTGGCGGCTAGAGTCCTCTCGTCCTCTGACTTGAGATGGCTGCCACCTATGGGTCAGATGATTGTCTGCCAGTATTAAGCAGTTGGTAATTAAATATTTAATTTGTTTTCCCTAAACAGTGTAAAATTTTGGAAAAAAATTTTCACGAACATTAATTGTCTCGCACAACGAGTCTGTGTGCAAAATGTCAGCTCGATTGGATCACGGGAAGTGGGTTAAAAAACGACCGAAAGGTTTGCACGGTCGTAAGCAAGCAAGCAAGCACGCAAGCAAGCAAGCAAGCGAACTTAATATAAAGGATTTAAAAAGCTGTAGGGGTTGGCTGAGCGTCAGGCGAGGGTGAAAGACAGGCGATGATTGGTGGAGATGGAGTCGCGACGAGGTACGTGGCCAGGAAGGGGTTAAAAGAGGGAGCGGGAGGCGGAGGTCGTAGAGTTTCAAGTTTCATGTATTAGGTGTAGAGCCCTGTGAGCCATTCGGCTTATGAATCGGGTGCAACCGCAACAAACAAAAAAACAAAAACATGAACAAGAAAACATCTTAAAGTGATTATGTGCAAACAGAAAATCCAAGAAAAGACAGCAAAATATTGCAGAAAAAATCACCGTGCACCAACCCTGTGCAAATATCCCAGTGGGATGCAAGTCAAACAACAACAACCACAAGACAACTTAGATTAAGGCCATCAGGTCTAACTCTGTACTACAACAAACAAACATGCCAAACCGAAAAACTAGAGAGAGAGAGAGAGGGAGCGAGAACGGAGGTGTGGACCGTTGTCCATGAAATTTAGACCTTAAACCTTGTGGACAAAGAAAAGGCCAGAGTCTTCTTTCACGAGCGAAGACTCAGTGTCTCCTTATCAGCAGCAAGAGTCACGCTCTGCTTGAACCAAGACTGGTGAAGTGCCCAGATTTTTACATGTAGGCAAGGACCGGTTTCAACTCTCAGTGTCGCATCAGCAACACGAGTCATGCTCTTCTTGAACGAATGCTGGTGAAACTACCCAGGTGTAGTGGCGTAACGCGCGCGGGGTTTGCAAACGGCAGTTGCATTATGTGCGGGGGTGCAGACGGTGAGGTCAGCTGAGGATAGGCATGTGCAGGCGGCTGGCCTGGGTGACAGCAGACAGAGAGACGCCAGTGATTGCCTGGCTGCAAATGCAGACGGGAAGTAGGCGACAAGTGGGGAGACCACGGGCGGGAGGCGTCGAGATGACGCTCTTTAATGAGGGCCATCTGAGGGCAATTAATGAGTGAGAGGATATAAGCGGCTTGGAAGCGTATTATTAAATAATACATTACCATTCCTAATAGGGGAAACACATACTAATTAACTGATTACTAACGAAGTATATAATTACAATAACACATTTCGATTTAAAGCTTTCGTGACTGCAGGGATTCATTTTATTGGTTCTTTCGGTAAAGTCACGTAGAAAGGAAATAATAAAATAATTAAAATAAAACATAGCAGCATCATTAGGATGCTGTCTTTCCGACAGCTCTGTTTCTTCACCTGAGGACGGCTGCTTGCGTTGTGGCCGAAACGTGAGAATTTTATTATGTTTTATTATTATTTTATTATTTCCCATCTACGTGACTTTACCGAAAGAACCAAGAATACAATAACACACATTACAACTAATTACGAATCTACAACTTATTACTAATCATAATAATGAATTGATTACTAATCTATTATATCACCCCCCCTCACCTTAAATTTCTGCACTTGAGTGATTATAGTATTGGTTCAGTTAAATAATACACATTAAAACTAATTACGAATCTACAACTCATTGTTAATTATAACAATTGACCGATTACTAATCTATTATATAATTACAATACCCCCCCTCTGCCTCAAATCACTGCAGCTGAATGCGTTAAATGATTACGTCACCCTGCTGCTCTATTTAAGACCCGGGAGCAAGTGAGGGCTTCACCATTCTGGCAAATTGCCCGATGATGCTGGATGTAATTACCAGCGAAACGTCGGACTACTCAAAAATTGTAAATGTTGTGGATTCACTCTTCAACACACCGGTGGGCTAACGTAGTGAACTGTTTGTCGTTTGTCAACGTGACACTTTTTTACTGATTGACCGTATCGGGTGGTAGAGGGTTACGAAACATTTATAAAACATCTAACCCAAAAATGTTTATCATGAGGATATAAGAAGATGTGCGGGCAAACGCGAGTTGAGTTGGTTGGAGTGAAGACAAGAGAGAGGCTAGCGGAATCCTAAGTGTGAGTGTGATACGGCTAACAGTAGGGAAGCTCGCAGTGTGTATAGTAATAGGCTAGAAGTGGAGAAGCTAGCAGAGCGTATAGTAATAGGCTAGCAACGGAGAGGCTAGCAGAGAGAGAGCATGCAAGCGGAGCGAGCGGAGCGTAGCAGGCGAGCAGCGCAAGCGAAAGAGTTGCTGCGGAGATACGTGGTGTTGAACGCGAGGAGTTCTACTCGAATAAAGTAACAACGGGAGAAAAATAAGTTGCCCGTGTGAAATAACACCACTACACAGGCAAGGGCCCTCTCTTTTAAAGATATTGTACCTAGTTTGATGAAAACAAATCACACAATGCACAACTCGGACTACGGGCATCCGTCACGTAATCTGTCCTTGCACTTAACAAATAAGAGTAGAGCGATTACCACCCCGGCTTACGTCGAGGTGAGGGGTTGCGTTCCTGCAAGATGCGACGACGACGTATATTGAAACGACGACGAGGGGTAGTCGTAGTCAGTGGTGGTGGTGGAGGAGGCTGAGAGTAGGCGACGGATAACGAGACAGGATGGACGGACGACGCTGCTGTGGACGATGTGAGCGAGCGTGGGGTTGAGGCGACCGCTATTCAGGTGGCGGTGTTAGTAATAACGTGACGACGGATATCGAGACAACGTAAATTGAAGTGACGTGCAGGGGTAGTCATAGTAGTAGTAGGAGGTGGAGTAGGAGGCTGAGAGTTGGCGACGGATAACGAGACAGGATGGACAACGATGTCGGCGATTTGAGTGAGCGTGGGTTTCAGGTAACCGCTAATCACGCGGCGGTGTTAACAACGACGTGACGACGGATTTGCGAAACTACGTAACAGGGGGAAGACGTACATTAGGGTGGCGCTGTAGTTCTTTACACAAACCTATCGGCCCCATGGTCTTCTGCGAGTGAATATATTTTTTATTTAGCAGTATTGCCTTCGAACGGGGGCAAGGACTCATTTGTGATTGCCAGGTTGCTTCTGCAAAATAAGCTCATAGGGGGCGTCCATAAATGACGTCACGCGATTTTGGACGATTTTCGACCCCCCCTCCCCTTCGTCACACGGCGTCACAAAAAGTCAGACCCCCCCCTCAAATATGACGTCATAAAGCTCTGCCCCCCCCCCAAAAAAAAAACACGCTTCAAATCGCCTTAAACTATTGTTATTGTACCGTGTATTTAATGTGGCGCTGCACTCTGATGTTGTAGGAGAAAACATTTATTAAAACGTCTATTTAATTAAGCAGAAGGTGTTGTCTATTTATTTAAAGTTGCGCATTTTGATGTGACGTCACATTTCTCAAACCCTCGCCCCTCCCATGTCACACATCGTCACAAATGTCTGACCCCCCCTCCCAGGTGCGTGACGTCATTTATGGACGGCCCCATACCTCAGCGGCAGTCCAGGATTATCCTAAGTAACAAAAGTAGCTACACATGCTCGGGGCCCCGCACGTTCAAGGGCCCCGCACGTTCAAGGGCCCCGCGCTAAATGCTTTCAAGCTATCAATTCTGTCTAGATTTGATTTAAAGTTGTCGTGACTGCAGGGATCCATACTCTTTGTTTTTTTTTCGGTAAAGTCACGTAGGTATAAAATAAAATAAATTAAATCACGACGTTTCGGGCGCAACACAAGCCTCCGTCATCAGGTGGGACAACCACAGCAAGAAACAATTGCTGAAGTGGCCAAAATGGGGGGCTGCCTTGACAAGAGGCTATATAGGTAAGAGAGGGGAGAGAGGAGTAATGGGGGGGAGAGAGATTAAGAGGGGAGGGGAGCGCTGCGAGAGCGTTTATCAACTCCGTCTATCAATTCCGGTTCAGTGATTCTGCACTTGCTCTATTACTATAGTACTATACTGCCTTCAACTTTTACGAACGGCTGGGTGTTTAAGGTTAGCGATTTGTCTTATCATCTGGCGGTATAGCAAATGAAAAAATCTAATTACTTTACTATGCAAGTAAAAAAAATAATGTGTTTCATATTTACGTGTTTTTTTATATTTAGGGCCCATTTATAACATATGCTGCAGGCCCCTGCAGCAGCTTAATCCGGCACTGCTCGGCGGGCTTTGCCTGATGAGATGGGGATGGTTTAGTGTTGAAATTTGTTTGGGTAATGCATTCACCTTTCCTGTACTCTGCACTCCTGCAGTCAAAATATATATTCTGATTCTGATTGATCGCCGTCAATAGCACCACAAGCCTTCGTGAATTATGCAAGATATGCGTGTGTATGATCAGTCAGTTCCTGGGGAAGCGCATTGTGGTGGCATTTGCTTATCTATGCTCGCCATCAAAATGAATTCACTGACTTGTCAGCAGCAGCAAACAGCCGTGACGCAGATTGTGACGACCAAGAGGTTAACAGTAGAACCGGTCCCTTTGCTGAGACGTTTATAATCTGTCAGCCGCTTACAGTCGGTGAATTTATTTTGATTGCGAGCATAGATAGAGCAACAGGACCGCAACGCACAATAAGTACTTATTAAATAGACGTGTGTGTGCGTGTGTGTTTGCATAGTTCGCAAAAAGCATTTGGTGATTTTGCATATTCCCCCCACTTTTTTGAAACTTAAGCCAAAAAATGGATAAAATATTACATCTGATGGGTGAGGCACGGAACACACAAAGATCCCCCGTATAGCCTGTAACAGACTGTTGGGGCAAGTGCTGTTAGCTAGCACCTCACACACAGACACAGACAAAGATCCCCCCGTATAGCCTTTAACAGACTTTTAGGACAAGTGCTGTTAGCGAACGCCTATTAATGCCGGAAGGATACACGAGGGGGTATGTGGCCAGCATCACGCCAGACCGCCTTTGTCTCCCTAGTGGCGATGTTTACACACCACACAGTTCAAACCTTATTGAGGCTGAGTCCACCTCGGGGACGCCCAGGACCATTTCAAATAATCGTCACTGGTGTTGGCCGTGAGTGGGAATCGAACTCATTTGGCCGGTTTCGTAGCGCAACCTGCTAACCGCTATGCCACCGCTCCCCATACACACGCACACACACGGACAAAGACAAAGATCCCCCGTATAGCCTTAACAGACTGTAGGGGCAAGTACTGTTAGCGAGCACCTATGAAGGCCGGAAAGGTACACGAGGGGGTGGGTGGCCAGCACCACGCCCGACCGCCTTTGTCTCCCTAGCGGCGATGTTTACACACCGAACCAGGTACTCATTTGAGGCTGAGTCGACCTAGGGGAGGCCCGGGACCGGTTCAGATAATCGTTACTGGTGTTTGCCGTGAGCGGGAATCGAATCCGGGTCGCCAGGTTCGTAGTGCAGCGCGCTAACCGCTACACCACACAGACACACACACAGACACACACATACCCACACACTCACACACACCCAAACACACACACCCACACTCACACACCCACACTCTCACACCCACACACCTACAGGCACACACATACACGCACACACCCACACATACACACACCCACACGCACACATACCCACACATCTACACACACACACAAACACACACACATCCACACACACCCCCCACACACACAAACACGCACACACACCTGGTTGCCGTCTTGAGGAATCCAGGAGATGGTTCCCCCGCGGAAATGGGAGCCACTCGTCGTGCCCAGGGCCAGGACAAGTACAACCAGAGCCAGACACAGCCTCATGGTGGACTCCTGCAGGGAGGCGGGGTGGACAATCAACACGGGGTGGAGAATCATCACTGATTGAACAATCAACAAGGGGTGAACAACGTCTGACTAACCCCGATTCATAAATCCATAATGCCTCGCGGGTCACTTCTTGTGGACATCACATTTGCAATGAGACATCGCGTTTCCATCCCCACATCTCTCCCTCCGCACACAATACCAACAACAACATAAACCTACATCATGTCTTTTTTTTACACATCCCGTTAGCAACACTCACGGTCGACTCTCTCGGCGTCTCATCGACAGCACCGGTCCACGGGTGCTCGCTTGAACATTTCAAATGCTGTGGCAGTTATGGAGCCCTCCAAGACAATCATCCCCAGTGTAGCCTTTAACAGACTCACTCACGCACCCACTCACTCACTCACACTCACTCACCCACTCACCCACCCAATCACTCACTCACTCACTCACCCACCCAACCACTCACTCACCCACTCACCCACCCACTCACTCACCCTCGTTCACTCACCCACTCACCCACCCACTCACTCTCACTCACCCTCACGCACTCACTCACCCACTCACTCACCCTCAGTCACTCACCCACCCACTCACTCACCCTCACTCACTCACCCACTCACCCACCCACTCACTCTCACTCACCCTCACCCACTCACTCACCGTCACTCACTCACCCACCCAGTCACCCTCACTCACTAAACGGCTGGATGCCGTATGGACCAGAAAAGTAATTTCCCTGTATAAGAATGCGGGGTAAACCTATATTTTGATGGGTATGGGAGGTGCGGAGGGAAGGACAACAAACTAAAGAACAACAACAAGCAGCACTTCTATAGAATGAGTTTTCAATTTAGTATATTATTGCAGTGTATAGTAGTGTAGTGGGTAGTAGTGTAGTGTATAGTAGTGCATATAGTGCAGTGTATAGTGTAGTATATAGCAGTGTAGTGTGTAGAGCGTATATTGTAGTGCATAGTATATTGTAGTGGAGTGTATCGCAGTTTAGTGTTTAATAGTGTAGAGTACAGCTTGTATGATGGACTTCTTTCGCACCGTACGTAGCCTATCGAGCGAATCGGAGGTGCGGGGGGAAGGGTAACAAACTAAACACAAGAACAACAGTCAGTTCTAAAGAAATAAGTTTTCAATTTAGTATAGTGGTGCAGCCGGTGAGTGTGGAACTAGTTAACTAACTGGCAATATCGTGTCTGCGTGACAAACTCTTTTTTGATTGTCTGTGTCGGGTGGTAGCGGGTTTAACGACACACATTTATATGTACGTGATCTAACCTAAAAAAAGGTTATTATGAAGAAGGATACATATATGAGTATGTATATGAATGTACATATATGCGAAAAAATGAATGTTTGTATATGGATACTTATAACTGTGTGTATGTTTAACTATATATATATGGGCGTGTGCATATTACTTTGACTCCGTATGTATAGCATAGTACATATATTTGTGAGAATTAATGTGTGTATATAGCTATTTATAACTGTGTGTGTATATAATACTATATATATGGAGACGTGTACATATGACTATATATGAGTTTAACACGTAGGTTTTCGCGACCAATTCTCAGATTGTAAATGTTGTGGATTTGCTCTCCAACACACCGGTGTGCTGTATTAGTAACGAATTGGCATGTTCTGTTTACGTGACAAAACCTTACTATATTCTTGGTTCTTCGGTAAAGTCACGTAGAAGGGAAATAATAAAAATATAAAACAATAAAAATTCTCACGACGTTTCGACTGCAACACAAGCAATCATCATCAAGTGTGAAATCTACAGCAAGAACATTTGAAAAAAAAATTATTGCTGTGGATTTCACACCTGATGATGATTGCTTGTGTTGCAGTCGAAACGTCGTGAGAATTTTTATTGTTATATATATTTATTATTTTATTATTTCCCTTCTACGTGACTTTACCGAAAGAACCAAGAATATAAATCCCTGCAGTCACGAAAGCTTTAAATCAAAACCTTACTAATTGGCTGTGTGGGGTGGGTTTAACGACACGTCTATATTTACGCGATCTAACCCAAAACAACCTTCATTATGGATACTATAGAGGAGGCTTCAAACATATTTTTAACACTTATATGGGATTATCGTTTTTAATGGAAAAAGAACGGATAATACACTGTAACATGATAACAAATTTATGTTAATAGCTTCAAAAAGTCAAAGAGTCTCCACTTGTCCGCTATCATTGTCAACGCGTGGCCTGGAATCTTCTCCAGGTGGTCTCCAGAGCCCGGAGGCAGCGCATTTCTCGTGGCATTGTTGCAAAGTCTCAGAAGTGTTAAACATTTTTTGAAGCACCCTGTATACGACTCTGTATGCATAGGATAATACATATATGTGAGTGAGAATAAACGTGTGTATATAGATGTGTAGAACTGTGTGTGTGTATATATAACTATATATGTGGGTACGTGTGCGTGTGCGTATTGTGATGCGTGCAATACCGAGCCTTGTGATGATCGCACGCTGATAGCTGAGCCGGGAGCTCTCTTGCCTTCACACAGACGCAGAACAGAGGGCACAGCGAACCCTCTCGCCGACCTCGCTGCTCTTCCACTCGATCCTTTGCCCCATATTTATACCAACAGACTCACCACCATCCTCATCAACATCATCATCATTGTTGGCAGGGGGGCGAGGGGGGGAATCACCCTTCCGTGACGGTACTGAATTATAAAATAACTCGGCGAACTTCCTCGCGAAGATTGCCCGCGGCGGTCCTGATAAATGGGGAACCAAGTCATTTGTGAGATTTGCATAGGTATGAGGGGTGGGGGGAGGATGGTATCGGTGTGTCGAGGTGGTACAGGTTGCCGTGGTGGCGAGGAAGTTGTTAACTGACATAATAATAGAGGGTGTTTTTTCCGTATGTATCGATAATCGTAATAACGTTTTTGTTGGGTTATATCGCGTAAATGTGAATGTGTGTCGTCGTTAAACCCGACGCCACCACCACCCGACACACAGCCAATCGGTCAAGGTTCGTCACGTAAAGAGAACGTGGCCAATTCGTTGCTAGTTCAGCACTCACCGGTTGTGCGTTGGAGAGGAAACCCACTGGAACATTTAAAATTCGAGTACGTTTTGTGCTGAGCAAGTAACGAAGTGGCACGTCTTGTTAAGGTGACAAACCCATTTACTGATTGGCCGTGTCGGGTTGTGGCGGGTTTAACGACACAAATGTATATTTACGCGATCTAACCCAAAAAACCCTCTGTTATGGATAATATTGGTCGCGAAAGCCTGCTGCGTGTTAAGTTAACCACCTTGCCTGGTATACAGGAGGTCGTGGTTTCGTTCCCGACCATGACGATGTCTGCTGCTGTCTATTTGGAGTTTGCATCTCTCTCTCATCACTATCACGGTGGCTAGGAGATGTTAACTACCTCGCCTGGTATACAGGAGATCGTGAGTTCGATCCTGACCCTGACACCTGTTACTGTCTATCTGGTGTTTGCGTCTCTCTCTCTCCGCGTGGTGGTCACCGTGGATTTTTCTCCGGGTCCTCCGGTTTTTCCCACATTTAGAATCAACATCACCACGCGTTTAGATTATGTGGCTACTGCTGTAAACTTCCACGTGATGATGATCAGCCACCACTTCGTTGGAGCTGCTTTCATTTGTGATCGCCAGGGTCGCTTCTCAAAAAAGAGCTACGCAGTAGCTCAGTGGTGGGGGCATTACACCTGGTAACAATAACACACTCCGGCGGAGGGAGATGGTAGGAACGCTGGGTTGCTCGGTCAATGGCCAGGGTCAACGGCGGCGTGGTGTATTCCGCAAATATGCCCGACTGTGAGGGTGGGCACAAGCCGGCGTGAGTAGGTTAAACGTTGAGTTTTATAAGGGCACCACGGGGTGACCAGCCCCTCCCCACCCAGCCCCACCCCTCCCACCCCCCACCCAGCCCCACCCTCCCCACCCAGCCCCTCCCTCCCCTCCCCACCCTCCCCTCCTCAACCAGCAAATCCCCACCCTCCCATCCCCACCCAGCCCCTCCCTCCCCACCCAGCCCCTCCCTGCACGACGGACGGACACAATAATCCCCTGTGGGCTGATGTAACCAGGAGGTTCCTACCAGTATAACATTAGTTTAGACTAGTCTATTTGTCTCTATGGGTTTCTATGGGTGTCTATGTATCTCTATGTATCTCTATGTGTCTCTATGTGTCTCTCCGTGCCTCTATGGGATGCTATGGGTGTCTATGTATTTCTATGAGTTTCATTCTGTCTCTATTGGTCTTTATGGGTGTCTATGGGTGTCTATGTATCTCTATGTATCTCGATGTGTCTCTATGTGTCTCTATGTGCCTCTATGGGATTCTATGGGTGTCTATGTATTTATATGTGTTTCATTGTGTCTCTATATGTCTCTATGGGATTCTATGTATCTCTATGTGTCTCTATGTGCCTCTATGGGATGCTATGGGTGTCTATGTATTTCTATGAGTTTCATTCTGTCTCTATTGGTCTTTATGGGTGTCTATGGGTGTCTATGTATCTCTATGTATCTCGATGTGTCTCTATGTGTCTCTATGTGCCTCTATGGGATTCTATGGGTGTCTATGTATTTATATGTGTTTCATTGTGTCTCTATATGTCTCTATGGGATTCTATGTATCTCTATGTGTCTCTATGTGCCTCTATGGGATTCTGTGGGTGAGTATGTATTTATCTGTTTCGTTGTGTCTCTATGGGTCTCTATGCATATTAGTGCTTTACACCTGGTAAAAAAAACAAGTTTTTTTTTATTAGTTTACTTTTCGGGGGTAAGGGCAGAAGGAAGTGGTGGTGAATGAGCGAAGGGTTTAAAAATATGTTTGGCATGGAGTGCATGATTTGCCCGTTAATTTGAATGCTGATTAGGCACACGTGCACGATCAGTTCACAAAGGGGAATAACGTCGCTTGCGAAACACTTCAATTACATAAACACGCAACGATATAGGAAGATACTTTAAAATCACGTAGACTGACAAATTAATTTCTTAAGAACTGTTGCTTTTTGTTGTTGTGTTCAGTCTCTTGTTCCCACCCCGCACCTCCGATTAGTGCGGTTGGCTATGTGCGGTGCGAAAGAAGTTCAACATTAAACTAATCTAAACTATTTTTTCATTTTCTATTTTTACCAGGTAAGGTCCCACTATTGAGCTATGTAGATTGTTTTCAGAAGCGACCTGAATATCACAAATGATAGCTCAACGAAGTGGCTTATCATCATCACGTGGGAATTTAATAGCAGCAGCCAAACACTCTATTCGCGTGGTAATGTTGATTCTAAATGTGAAGGAGAGAACCGGACGACTCAGAGAAAAATCCATGCGACCACGGGGAGAACATGCAAACTAAAAATATATACAGTAGCTGCCAGTTTTGGGATCGAACACACAATCTCTTGTATACCAGGCGAGGTAGTTAACATCTCCGAACCACCGTGGCGCGACACTCATATAGAGACCTCCTCACATAGACACCCATAGACTGACACATAGACACATACATTCATACAAAGACACATAGACACACAGAGATCTATTGATTCACACTGAGACCCGTACCCTCACATAGAGACCCATAGATTCACACAAAGATCTACATGAAGGAGGCATAATCATCACAGCAACGATTCACCACTCGGCTACTCCTGACTCAATCATCTGCCTTGTTGACCACCTCGATGTAAAATTACACCTTCACCTGTTCCAAATAGGAATTCTACCGGTACATCTGTGGGAAGCTTATCGAACTATATGGGCAAACATGATGTGAAATAGTGTAGGGACCAAAAGACATCTCTGTCGAAACCCCAAAGTGAACAGGGAATCGCTCTGACTCCCTGTACATAATACAGTTTTTTTGGGTTAGATAGCATGAATAAAAATGTGTCGTTAAACCCACCAACACTCGACAAAGCCAATTAGTAAGGTTCGTCACGCAAGCAGAACATGCCAATTCGTACTAGCAACGAATTGGCATGCTCTGCTCATGTGACAAACCTTACAAATTGGCTGTGTTGGGTGGCGGCGGGTTTACACATACGTTCAAATTTATGTGACCTAACCCAAAAAACCTTTATGATGGATCATATTGGTTGCGAAAACCTATGTGTCAAACGGATGTTATGCAGCTGGGATATCGTATCATTCTGTGTACCATATCACTGCACCGCTCAGCCACACGGCTCAAAGAAAGTTCACAGTGATGACGTCATCATGCCCTATTTAAGACCGGAAGCAGGTAGATTGCTTCACTATTCTGGTAAATCGCTCAATGATGCTGGATGTAATTATCAGCGAAGCGTCGTACTCAAATTGTAAATGTTGTGGATTTGCTCTCCAACACACCGGCGGGATGAAGTAGTAACTAATTGGCGCGTTGTTTACGTGACAAACCTTACTGGCTGTGTTGGGTGGTGGAGGGTTCATTTTTAGTTACGCGATCTAACCCAAAAACCTTTATTATCAAAGAAAGTAGTTCGTCGTCGACTGCTCATAAACTACGCTCTTCAGAGCAGGACCAACTACTCTCTCAACCTTGCCTCTTGCGCTCAATGCTGGAGGGGTTCGGGCCTTCTCAAGTGTTGCCCCAAGGATACGGAATACCTTTCCGTTGGTGATTTGGCACGCTTACGAGCCTCGGCGTGTTTAGGAGGGTGAGTGCCAAGACTCGCTATTTTCAAGTGGCCTTTACTTAAACATTATTCCATTGTCTTTGCGTTTTATTTTAGTGTACAATGTTTTGATACCCCCTTGAGTGGAGGTGATATTACAATTAAAATAAGTACGGTTTATATGGGTGATAACGGCACGCGTGCGATCCGCGTTGAGCGAGGGCTTGCCATATATCTCAGTGTCGCCACATCGCGGCGACCCTCCAGTATCGCAGTGTGAGAAGTGGACGCTGCCCCCTCGTGGCCAAGGCGACGTTAACACGGACTCACGACTAAAACTGTGGCCTTCAATGATTACCCAGTGCGATGTGTAAAAAAATACATCAGCACTGGGAAGGCAAATGCGGCCGGGCGTGTTATTGGCTATCCAACCCCCTCGTGTGCCGCAGTGCCGGCCTTCATAGGTGCTACTCGCTAACAGCACTTGTCCCTAATAGCCTGTCCGAGGCTATACGAGGAATATTTGTCTTTGTGTTTATTCGTGTGTCTTTGAATGGGTGAGGCTGAGTGAGTGGGTGAACCGGTCCTGGGCCTCCCGTAGGTCGACTCAGCCTCAAAATTAGTACCTGGTGCAGTGTAAAAAAATCGCAACTAGAAAGACAAAGGCGGTCGGGCGTGGTACTGGCCACCCACCCCCTCACTAATAGCAATTGCGCCAACAGTCTGTTAAGGCTATATGGACGTCTTTGTCTTTGAGGGTGAGTAAGTGGGTGGGTGAGTGAGTGGGTGAGTGACTGAGGGTGAGTTAGTGGGTGGGTGGGTGAGTGAGTGGGTGAGGGTGAGTGGGTGAGGGTAAGTGGGTTAGGGTGAGTGAGTGGATGAGTGAGGGTGAGTGGGTGGGTCAGTGAGTTGGTGGGTCAGTGAGTGAGGGTGTGTGTGTTGTGGGTGGTAGTGTAACGTTTAGCATGCTGCACTACGAATCCGGCGACCCAAGT